AAACGGCAGAACTCCCCGCGGAGATATGACGTTCCAAAACGACAGAACTCCCCGCGGAGATATGACGTTCCAAAACGATAGAGCTCCCCGCGGAGATATGACGTTCCAAAACGACAGAACTCCGCGCGGAGATATGACGTTCCAAAGCGACAAAACTCCCCGCGGAGATATGACGTTCCAAAACGACAGAACTCCGCGCGGAGTTATGACGATCCAAAACGACAGAACTACCCGCGGAGATATGACGTTCCAAAACGACATAACTCCCCGCGGAGATATGACGTTCCAAAACGACAGAACTCTCCGCGGAGATATGACGTTCCAAAACGACAGAACTCCCCGCGGAGATATGACGTTCCAAAACGACAGAGCTCCCCGCGGAGATATGACGTTCCAAAACGACAGAACTCCCCGCGGAGATATGACGTTCCAAAAAGACAGAACTCCCGCGGAGATATGACGTTCCAAACGACAGAGCTCCCGCGGAGATATGACGTTCCAAAACGACAGAACTCCCCGCGGAGATATGACGTTCCAAAACGACAGAACTCCCCGCGGAGATATGACGTTCCAAAACGACAGAGCTTCCCGCGGAGATATGACGTTCCAAAACGACAGAACTCCCCGCGGAGATATGACGTTCCAAAACGACAGAGCTCCCGCGGAGATATGACGTTCCAAAACGACAGAACTCCCCGCGGAGATATGACGTTCCAAAACGACAGAACTCCCCGGGGAGATATGACGTTCCAAAACGGCAGAACTCCCCGCGGAGATATGACGTTCCAAAACAACAGAACTCCCCGCGGAGATATGACGTTCCAAAACGGCAGAACTCCCCGCGGAGATATGACGTTCCAAAACGACAGAACTCCCCGCGGAGATATGACGTTTCAAAACGATAGAGCTCCTCGCGGAGATATGACGTTCCAAAACGACAGAACTCCGCGCGGAGTTATGACGATCCAACACGACAGAACTACCCGCGGAGATATGACGTTCCAAAACGACAGAACTCCCCGCGGAGATATGACGTTCCAAAACGACAGAACTCTCCGCGGAGATATGACGTTCCAAAACGACAGAGCTCCCCGCGGAGATATGACGTTCCAAAACGACAGAACTCCCCGCGGAGATATGACGTTCCAAAAAGACAGAACTCCCGCGGAGATATGACGTTCCAAAACGACAGAGCTCCCGCGGAGATATGACGTTCCAAAACGACAGAGCTCCCGCGGAGATATGACGTTCCAAAACGACAGAACTCCCCGCGGAGATATGACGTTCCAAAACGACAGAACTCCCCGCGGAGATATGACGTTCCAAAACGACAGAGCTTCCCGCGGAGATATGACGTTCCAAAACGACAGAACTCCCCGCGGAGATATGACGTTCCAAAACGACAGAGCTCCCGCGGAGATATGACGTTCCAAAACGACAGAACTCCCCGCGGAGATATGACGTTCCAAAACGACAGAACTCCCCGCGGAGAGACGACCAAAAAGCAAGGGGTTACATCGCGTTTTTTCCCAAAGTCGGGGTAAGTTCGAATACCAAAACTTTCTTAACGATTTTTTTGAAAATCTCGGGTAACTATAATCTGATTTTAAAATGTTATACTTTTTGAATACGAATATTCAAAAAAAATCATCGAAAATGTTTCGATTTTCGCACCGACCTCGATTTTAAAAAACATCGTGATTATTTGGAAGGTCATATTTTCGCGCGAAGTTATGTCGTTTTGGAACGTCATATCTCCGCGCGAAGCTATTACCCGACAGCTATTACCCGGGGTAGGTTCGAATATCAAAACTTGTTGACGATTTTTTTGAAAATCTCGGGTAACTATAATCTGATTTTAAAATATGATACCTTTTTGAATTCGTACGGATCCCTACTATCATATGGCATTCAAAGAAATTAAAAATTGATGGGTTGGAAAAAGTTGTTGACCAAAAAACGTTTCGTTTTTATAATAACCTTTTTTGATCATTTCTTTAGACTATCTCGGCCAAATAATCTCAGAGTCGAAGCATTCGCCAACCCATACAAGAGACCTCGCTGGGAGGTGTGTAGTCAGAAGGCTCAAGAATAAATCCTTTAGAGACCTCCTCCAACCACGACACAGGAGAAGCACCAGAGCTCACCGACTACCTACGTGACGGTGCAACCAGGATTGGCGAGATACCACCTAAGTTAACGGTTTTGTAATAAAAATGTATGCTTTATTTTGATTCAATACAATAAACATATATAAGTTAAAAAAAACAAACTTTTTTGACGATTTTTTTTTAACTCTCGGGTAAGTATAACCTGTTTTTGAAATATTATACCTTTTTAAATTCGTACGAGGATCCGTAGTTAGGAACTATCATATGGCATTCAAACAAATTAAAAATTGATGGGTTGAAATGAGTTGTTGACCAAAATACGTCGATTTTGAAAAAAATCGTGATGATTTGGAAGGTCATATTTTCGCGGGAAGTTATGTCGTTTTTTAACGTCATATCTCCTCGCGAAGTTATGTCGTTTTGGAACGTCATATCTCCTCGCGAAGCTATTACCCGAGAGCTATTACCCGGGGTAGGTTCGAATATCAAAACTTGTTGATGATTTTTTTCAAAATCTCGAGTAAATATAATCTGATTTTAATATATTATACCTTTTTGAATTCGGACGGATCCCTTCTATCATGTGGCATTCAAACAAATTAAAATTTGATGGGTTAAAATGAGCTGTTGACCAAAATACATTTCGCTTGTAAAAATCAACCTTTTTTGATGATTTTTGGACTATCTCGGCCAAAAAATCTCAGATTTTGGAATTGTCAACTATTTTTGACTCGTAAGGATCAGTACTATCGATTGGCATAAAAATAATAAATATCTAAATTTTGATCCAAATCGACCAAAAAGCAAGGGGTTACATCGCGTTTTTTCCCAAAGTCGGGGTAAGTTCGAATACCAAAACTTTTTTAACGATTTTTTTGAAAATCTCGGGTAACTATAATCTGATTTTAAAATGTTATACTTATTGAATGCGAATATTCAAAAAAAATCATCGAAAAAGTTTCGATTTTCGCACCGACCTCGATTTAAAAAAAAATCGTGATTATTTGGAAGGTCATATTTTCGCGCGAAGTTATGTCGTTTTGGAACGTCATATCTCCGCGCGAAGCTATTACCCGACAGCTATTACCCGGGGTAGGTTCGAATATCAAAACTTGTTGACGATTTTTTTGAAAATCTCGGGTAACTATAATCTGATTTTAAAATATTATACCTTTTTGAATTAGTACGGATCCCTACTATCATATGGCATTCAAAGAAATTAAAAATTGATGGGTTGGAAAAAGTTGTTAACCAAAAAACGTTTCGTTTTAAAAAATCTACCTTTTTTGATCATTTCTTTAGACTATCTCGGCCAAATAATCTCAGAGTCGAAGCATTCGCCAACCCATACAAGAGACCTCGCTGGGAGGTGTGTAGTCAGAAGGCTCAAGAATAGATCCTTTAGAGACCACCTCCAACCACGACACAGGAGAAGCACCAGAGCTCACCGACTACCTACGTGACCTTGCAACCAGGATTGGCGAGATACCACCTAAGTTAACGGTTTTGTAATAAAAATGTATACTATATTTTGATTCACTACAATAAACAAATATAAGTTTAAAAAAAACAAACTTTTTTGACCTTTTTTTTTAACTCTCGGGTAAGTATAACCTGTTTTTGAAATGTTATACCTTTTTAAATTCGTACGAGGATCCGTAGTTAGGAACTATCATATGGCATTCAAACAAATTAAAAATTGATGGGTTGAAATGAGTTGTTGACCAAAATACGTCGATTTTGAAAAAATCGTAATGATTTGGAAGGTCATATTTTCGCGGGAAGTTATGTCGTTTTTTAACGTCATATCTCCTCGCGAAGTTATGTCGTTTTGGAACGTCATATCTCCTCGCGAAGCTATTACCCGAGAGCTATTACCCGGCGTAGGTTCGAATATCAAAACTTGTTGATGATTTTTTTCAAAATCTCGGGTAAATATAATCTGATTTTAATATATTATACCTTTTTGAATTCGTACGGATCCCTACTATCATGTGGCATTCAAACAAATTAAAAATTGATGGGTAAAAATGAGCTGTTGACCAAAATACATTTCGTTTGTAAAAATCAACCTTTTTTAATGATTTTTGGACTATCTCGGCCAAAAAATCTCAGATTTTGGAATTGTCAACTATTTTTGATTCGTAAGGATCAGTACTATCGATTGGCATCAAAATAATAAATATCTAAATTTTGATCCAAATCAACCAAAAAGCAAGTTACATCGCGTTTTTTCCCAAAGTCGGGGTAAGTTCGAATATCAAAACTTTTTTAACGATTTTTTTGAAAATCTCGGGTAACTATAATCTGATTTTAAAATGTTATACTTTTTGAATACGAATATTCAAAAAAAATCATCGAAAAAGTTTCAATTTTCGGACCGACCTCGATTTTAAAAAAAATCGTGATTATTTGCAAGGTCATATTTTCGCGAGAAGTTATGTCGTTTTGGAACGTCATATCTCCGCGCGAAGCTATTACCCGACAGCTATTACCCGGGGTAGGTTCGAATATCAAAACTTGTTGACGATTTTTTTGAAAATCTCGGGTAACTATAATCTGATTTTAAAATGTTATACTTTTTGAATGCGAATATTCAAAAAAAATCATCGAAAAAGTTTCGATTTTCGCACCGACCTCGATTTTAAAAAAAATCGTGATTATTTGGAAGGTCATATTTTCGCGCGAAGTTATGTCGTTTTGGAACGTCATATCTCCGCGCGAAGCTTATACCCGAGAGCTATTACCCGGGGTAGGTTCGAATATCAAAACTTGTTGATGATTTTTTTTTGTACATCTAAGATTTTGGAATTTTATACATTTGTATAAACATAATAGAAAAAAAGTGCTTGCAACAATTAGTTATTAAATCATTTATTTATTAATTAATAAGTTTATATACGGTTATAAGTTTATTTACGGTTGCTTTATAGCAAACATCGGTACTTATTATCGTAGAGCTTAGCTGAGATTGTTATTAATAGACACGTAATTAGAACTATGGACACATTTTATGTTACATAAATCAATATTGTATGCTTAAGTTTAGGTATTTATGTTGATAATATGGAAATAGGTTCATTAGCGAAATACTTACAAAGCCTTAAAGTTAAGAAGCGTTAATAGGAACAAAGTGGAACATTTACTTAAATAAATGTATATATGTATATGGATCTACTAATACTTATAACTGAAGAGTTGTGTGTGTATCAATTACCCGAAATTTAATTGAAGGGCTCATTCAATTAAATCACAGTATTTGATGAAACTTAAGCCAAGCGTATGTGTATATATGAATGAATCGTAATTGTAATTGTAATCATAATTGTTATAGTAGATACATTATGTTTAGATACATCTGGCTGTAGCTCATAACTATCCCGCCTAGACTTAAATATAACTCAGCTTTGCTTTCAATCAGTCAACACATATTCGTTATTTCTTAACTATATGTTAATTTTAAATAAAAAAAATCAATTTTCATGTTTTATGTTTTGTATTTAATTGCAGCCGCTCCTTGACTCCGATGCATAGAGAGTTCAAGAGTTCAGCTGGCATTGTGCCTAGGGGGAGGGGGATTGGGAATGCAATGCAAATTGGCAATCTAGTATTGTTGCAAACTGTAATAGTGCACAAATATTGAAATACTTTTGTGTGTGCAAAATGCCAAATGGACTCTCCAAAAAACCACATCGAATGAACTTTTGCTTACTTTCGACTTAATAAATGAAAATAATGCTACAAATGCATGCAGCTGCTTTTGGCATTAAATGGCAATTTTTGGATGTCTTGCATGCAAATTTACTTAGTCCCGGCGTGGGCAGCAAAATCTTGTAATCTTCTTCATTAATATACATATAGAGAGATATATATAAACCGTATATGTATGGACAACACTGAGATAGAGACGGGTGGGGTGTTTTAGACAGAGGTTAAGTGTGATTGGGTTCTGGTAATTGGCTTTAACGCGGCACCAGCGTGGTCATCTCTGAGGGCATGGGGCTCTCGGTGAGGGCAACAGATTCCGTGACGGCGCTGCGCGTTCCATTAACCGTGTGTCTTGTGTTAAATTCGGTGGCCGCAATGCTCATGCCGCCGAGGCAATCACCATCGGAGGCGCCACGTTGGACGCTGTTGCCCAGGAGCTGGAGCTCGTGTTTGCGACGTCGACGCGCTGCCGCTGCCTGCATGTTGCTGCCTGTCGTGTGACCATGGAGAGCAACATTAGTGGATTCAGTGGAACGACACAAGAGTTCTTGAAATTCTTTACGGAAGTTATCGTTGAGCCATCCATACAACAGCGGATTCGAGCAGGCCGAGCTCATGCCAATCATGTGGCAAATGGCATATGCCACAAGCATTCTCTGCGTCACGGCCGATGGATGCTGCAGATCCGCATACAAATTGAAAAAGTTCAGTGGCAGCCACGAGACCCCAAAGATGATCGCAATGCTAATTAACAGCCGATTCGTGCGCTTCATGCGTCTGCCCCGCTCCACTTTTCGCTGCGACGAGCTCTGCACCGTGACCACAGTAATCCGGCTTTTCAGCTTGTTGTAGATGCCAAAGTAGGCCACCGACACGATCAGTATGGGCACCAGATACTGTACGCACAGCGAAAAGATCGAGTAGTAGAAACGGCCATCGCTCAGCGGCCAGTCCTCGATGCAGTACGATATCCTGTGCGGCACACCCAGCCTTTGCAGCACTGGTGGCATGTCCATGCTGATCAGCTGCTTGTAGATGAACAGGGGCGAGGCTAGTGTCAGGGCTAGTATCCATATTCCTGCTAGAATGGCGACGGCTCCCACAAACTGCAGGCTGTCCCGCGTGGGATAGACAATCACCTGGTGCAGGGGCAATAATTTTGTGCACAAATGGCAACTTTAGTAATTAAATAGGCTGCATTCAATACCTAACTTATTTCTTTTTATAAACAATGATATTAAATTTTAGCTATTTTTTAAATACTTTAACCAGTTTCAAATCAAGCAAGTCAGCACCTACTTTAATTACCCTAGCATATGACTCTATCACCTTTCATCAATCCTAAGACCGAACTATTCTAAGCCACAAAAATCCAGTTTATTATGCTAATCCAAAGCTGACAAGCCATATAAGTAGAATACAAATTTTATTGTCTATTCATTTTAGCCACAAATATGAACCCTATTTTTTTTTTTTTTTTTGAATTTGTAAAGCAGTTAAGGAAAGTGTTAATAAAAATAGTGGCATAATCTTTTTAAGCATCATCAGTTTTACAATTGTGGCTCGCAACATTTGGCGCCGAATCGCTTTATTTCACGCAATTTGACTTTTGATTAGAACAGACGACACCCTCCAAAGGCCCTTTATCGATTTTCGCTGGCTGTCATAACAGTTAAAAATCATGATGGTTAACGTGCAGCGTGTGTTCTACTAACCTGATATCTGTCGAAGGCGATGGCTGTTATGGATATGGTCGATACGAATATGCTGAGCGCCTGCAGCGTGGCAATCGTTTTGCACAGGACGGCGCAGGAGCCGTATGGCCAGAATTTTGAAAGGATTTCCATTAGTGTTAACGGCATGGTAACTAGGCACAAGAGCAGGTCTGCGAATGGCCAACGAGCACATGCCATAAATGTCAATTCAACGTCAAACTACACTTACACACACACACACACAGACACAAGCCCCAACTCACCCGATATGGCCAGATTGAGGATGAAGAGGTTGCGGGCGGTGCGCATGATTGGTTTACGCACCACAGCAATGACCACCATTATGTTGCCCATGGCTCCGAACACAATCAGCACGCTGTACATGGCGATTAGCAGATGGTACCAGGGACTCTCGATGGCACGGTTATGCAGATACTGATCCATCAGCACCGGATCCATGTCCGCGGGCATAAAGTTGCTCTCGTTGTTTGTGCTGTTCAATAGCAAAATTGTCATGTTGCTGTGGCTAATGTTGTTGCTGCTGCTATTGCTGTTGCTGCTGTTGTTGATGTTGTTGCTGATGCTGTTGCTGATGCTGCTGCTGCTGCTGCTGCTGACATCGCCTGTGTGTAGCGAGGGAAAATTTGCCAAGTGCCGGCGTTCCCCAATCAGATCAAAATTGCTGTTTCTCGCAATCGCTTTAAATATCTCCGCTGAGCTTTCGAATTGCGGCAATGTTCCAAATTCAGTGCGATTCATGGCGATTATCTGTTGAGAAATAAAACTGTCTTTGAATCAGATTTTACTTTACCCACAATAAAAAGGAGAGAAAGAAATAGTAAGAGCACGTTTGACGGGAGTAACCTACTAGGATATACCCTAGTACCAGTGCCGAGCAGGCTTTGCAAAAATACTCCCCTTCTTCTACACATTCATAGACAACAACACATATACGCAGGGTATGCACCTTATGTGCTTCTCCTTTTTAATCTTTATATGAGTAACTACGGTATTTATGTCCGAACTTTATAAAAATTTCAGAGCAACAAATTGTTAATAAATTATGTTAAAATAAAAAAGCACACCGCTTTAGCTCCACAAATAAGTTCTTTTGTTTTTGAATTGAGTTGGGAACTGGGGAAGGTATCAAAAGGTATTGCTTTTATGTAAACGAGGCAAGTTCTGAGGCAGTTGAAATAAACTTGATCTATTCGTTATATGGCTTTTATAGTCGCTGCGATCAATATACTTTATGGGTAGGGAGAAGCCTCCTTCTGCCTGTTACATCATCATTATCAGTATACCCTTTCTACAAGCTTTCAACGGGTTTAGGGTATCAGGACAAAAGGGATTCGTTGGCATTGCGTGTGTCTTAAACGTGATTTAAGTGCTGGTCCAAACGCACACGCCACACATGCTCCCAATTGGCGCAACTCCATGAACAGGACCTTAGAATTTGCCTAAAAATAAACGGCAATAACTATTCCCGAACACGTGCAGTGCCAGCCGCTAGGCTTATGCCAAAACTTTCACTGTCTATTGCTTTTTGGCATGCTTTTGAGTTTTGATGCCAGAGGCTTACAAACTCCATAAAACTTTGCTGTTTTTATGGTAAAAGTAAAAGTAGAAGTAAGCACTTTTTGATAAAGAACTTTATATTACAATAAACAAAAAATCACAAATAAAATGGCATTTTTTGCTTCTTACAGCTGGATTTATTTGCCTGTTCCTGGCAGATTCTTGCATTTGTTCACAACTTTTTGTAAATCTATAATTTTTACTATATTTATAAATATAATGAACATAGTTGAGACATCAGAGCAAAGCATGAGAAAAATGTTTTTAATTAAAAAAGTTTCGCTTTGCGAATGAAGGAAAAATAAAGCCTGAAATGATTTTTTCATATAGCTTCCCCCAGTGGCCAGTGTTCAATAATCTGCATTAAATTTATGCAGAAAACAAAACGGAAAATATGTAAAATGTGGCCGCAGCTAAAATACTCTGAATGTTGCTAAATTTTAACTATGTTAATTATGAAATTCTTGTGAAAAACTTTTCACCCGGTAACTATTGCAATAGATTCAAGCTCGCCCGCAAAATGGGAAAACTCTCTAATGTGTTTCGTATACTTTAATGGATCCAGCTATAAAAAAGGGCATTAAGAATCGTTAATGGCCATTATTGGCGTTTCCCAGCTACGCGTGATTTTATAATTAGCTCTGGACTTCTAGAAAATCGTTCGCAGCTCTGTTTACATGATTTGCTTCGTAATTTATGCAACGCCTCCTCATTGACAGGCCAACTAAACCTCTGTTTAAATTTAAAGTCAAGTTTAGAAGCTTGTGAAACACAAATAATAACTTCTTTCAGAGCGTTGCCAGGTCCCTTACAAGCCGAAGCAGTCCTAATGAGAAATGAGGGGGCAGAAACTGCCTCAATTATTTGGAATGTTATTTTTACGCAATGGGGCGCATCTCTTTTATATCGAGAGACAGGCCGACATTCGATTTGTACTCGGGTTATAAATGACGACAATTGCTTAAGATAATTGCGTTATTTTATGCAGCAGATGGGCGCGTACTTATCAATGTCAATAAAGCGAGGCAATCCAAATAGAGGTTGAGATGTGTAGCAGCAGCACATTATTCAGATTCCCTAAAGTATGCAGCACAATCGGTTGGTGCGATTAATGTGTTGCCCATAAATCAAGAGAGGGTCGCACCTTGTCGCACCAGACGCTGCTCGGGGGACTTAAAACATCCCAAAAGAGTTAATGTGGACACATGTTTCTAATCGTTGCTCATCTGCTGTGTGACTTAAATATTGATTTTGAATTTCCCGTTGGGTTGAGCTGATGACAAAATGCACACAAACTTGCCAAATAAATGCAATTCAAAGTTTGCAAATGTAAATTGACAAATGTTTTTCTCTGCATCGACCACAAAACTTTGTCTTTGGACACATTCAAGTAAGAGATTTATAGTGTACGGGTGTAATAGATACGCAAGTATAAAATATTTATTAACAAGTGCTAAAACTTCTCAAAAAGGTAGATAACAATAAACAAAGTTTTTTTTTTTTTTAAAAAAGTTTGACCAATTGCGTGTTTTGTTTCGGGGGAACAAGCACGGCCTGTTTGTCATTTCGTGAGAATCACTGAGAAGGGCGAATGAGTACAAATTGAGTTTTCATGTCAGGGAAAGCGCTTCAAGTTCTTGCATGGAATTTATTACAGTTTTCTTTGGTTATTTTCTTTGTAGCCATATATATCTCATTGGAGCGTTGGCGAAATGACTTTTTCAGAAAGTTGACGACAAGAAAATTATGTAAAGTAGCCTCAAGTTCATAGAACTTGTCATGTTTCACTGCGTGGGTGTATTTGCGTTCTCGCCCAGCTACATTTGCACATTAAGCTGCGTGATAAAGATATTAAATGCCATGGCTAAGAAAAAAAAAAAAAAAACCCCAAAACGGCTTTTAACCCATTTTTCTTTTGCAACTTTTCCATTTTTGGCTCAGCCACTTTTGTGATTTATTTGTGCTCGTGCCGCTGTCAGGTGGCTGTGCTGCAGGGCGGGTCTCCTTGCCTTTCGATGCTATTTCTATTGCTAGATGACTTTTATGGCCGTTTACAGAAAACGACGGAGCTTAAGATCTTAGGCGTTACACATGAAAAATGTCTCAATTTTTCATAGGCAATGTTACAAATTCATTCGTGTAGCTACAACACTTAAACTGATTCGATTTATTAATGGGTTGCGGACGAGCGGACGAGCGTACGAGTTGCACAACAGCAAGGGAGAATCTATTTGAGGATATTATTAAATAAATGTTTTCTGAAGCAATTAATTCGCTCGGGGGTCAAGCGCTGGTATAACAATGCGAATTGGCAAATTGGATTTCGGCCAATATTCAACCCCGTTTTGTGCTTGCAAAAGAAAAACAAAAACAAATTAAAAATCGTTTAACCGAGCTAAAATATTGCAAATCAATGCACAGGCCTGAAATAATATCAACCAAAATTGACGCACAGCCACATTTTATGGTCGGACCGGACCCCTTTTTGCTCTCAGTTCATTAAATTGAACTCAACTCGAAGAGATATAATTAAATTTAGAGCAGTACGTGCTGCTGTTCATCTGTCAGGCACAGTCAGTTTATAAGAGGCTCTATAAATGTAAAATGAAACGATGCCAACTGCCATATGGCCAAGTATGTTGGGATGCGCCATCAAGAATCACAACAGAGCCAGCCAAACAAATAAATTACCCAGCAAGTGGAAACTTTTTGTTTCTTGTTTAAAAGCGCAAAACGACAAAGTTGAGGACTAACGTAATTTTACTGCGAGTTAACATCTCATTTGGGAAGGTTTCTTGGCACAGCAACGAGTCACTTTCAAGTATTTATATTGCAATCAGACTTACCATGTCTCGACCCTGATTATGTGGCCCCTTTGCCTCCAGCTATGTGTCGCACTTATTGTTCTCTTGTTTTCCCTTGTTAGTAGCTATAACTAAGTATCTGTAACTGTCTCTGTAGTTATAGCACTTGCTGTTCATTCATTCAACGTGCAGCATGAAATGCACTCATGGGACTTTACTTATATGAAGTTGTTGTTGCTGTTGTTGTTGTTGTTGTTGATGCTGCAGCAGAGTCCTTATGCCTTTTTTCCTTAATCCTTGTCACACAATATTTTAGTTCAACTGCAAGACACAGAATGGCACTTGTGTTGCGAATAAATTTATATCAAACATTCCAAATAAATCCTTGCACTTTGGCAGCATATGCGAGACTTAGGACTTCAGTACACTAGTCAGAAGACTTCGCATATGTACTACTACATATATATTAAATAACTTTAGCTTTAGGTTTCCACACTTTTACTTTCCAGCTGCTCCCGCAGGCAAAAGCAGCCAGCGCCTTGCATATACATTTATTTGCATATTTTATTGCATACATTCATCTGCGCATTTTATTCGCACTACCTACTCATGTCTGTCTGCCTGGCTGCACCGCTGACTGGCAGATCGGGAAAATTTGCTGCCAGCCAGCACCAATTTAACAAACTGGAAAACGCGTTGCTTCAAATGTCAGACTAAATTAAAATTACTTACATCAGCTCAGCAAGAAGAGGACGATAAACCAATTTAAAACCTGACAGACTTCCAACTTTTCATATTCAAATTTGCATGCAATTATTTCAGCACAGTGTCGATTAACAGCAGCGTTTTTTAACGTACCTACTTTCTGCCCTGTGCTCAAATAACATATAAAATAAAAAAACTGAAAAGGGTATGTTAAAGTTGGGCCAATGCACAAATCAGCCTTAAACTAACAAAGAGTATTTCTGGAAGCCAAATATCATTCGGTTTAAGCTTCTTAAGCCTAGTTTTCCTCATCCATAAGCTCAGGTTTTAGTTGAAACCTTGTTATATATATTTTCATAATCTTCATTAAACAATTAAAATTGTAAAATTTGTAGCTGCACGTTTAACTACAAACGGCTCTTTTGATCTACGCCCATAATTGGCATCTAAGGTTCACTTGTTTTTTAGTTAATTAAATTGGTTTCAAGGTTCGGGAAATAATATAGAACTAAATTGGAACTGCAAACCTGGTTATTGTAAAACTTTCAAATGCCTGTCCAAAAAATAGTTTTAAGCTACTTAAAAAAATTGACTAAATCTAAATTGATTAAATACGGACTTAAAGTATTTGGAAACCAAAATCCGATTTTTCTAGTGCTTTACTTAAATCTATTTGTTTCTGCACCACTTCAAAGGCAATTTTCCTGTCCATACACAGACTTCAAACACATCCAAACATTTTCTGAGGAACTTTTTAATGGTGCGAAAGTTAATTGAATATGATGTTTTTATTAATGCAGCCGAGTAAATGCACATTAATATCAGAATTTAAAGATCTTGTGTTTATTCACATTTCATTGCCCAATTAGTTTTTTGTGTGCTTAAAAGCATTTTATATTTTGCGCTTTGTTCGATTTTCATAATTTTTTTGCGTGACCAAAATGCTTTTAGTTCTCACTTAAACGGATTTCCGCTCTTCATTTCCGCAAATCCACATTAACCAAATATTAAACCGCCCGCTTACACTTTATTTTTCCTTTATTCGGCGAAACTTAGCATTCTGCACAAATTCCGGCACTCAAATTTTATTCCGCTTGAGTTACAACTTCCTTTTGAGATTTATTTTCTTGTATTTTATTATTTTTATTATGTTGTGCACTTTCCACTATTTTCCCAAAGCGAACAGATAGTTTGAATCGTAATGATGAGGTTTGTCTGCCGCACACGTCGCCTCGCATTACGCCAGATTCCAAATTTGATTACACACTTGGCACTTGGCACTTGGCACTTGGGCAGAACGAATACAGAGATTCGAATACACAGACCGTATTCACAATTCAAATTCACAATTTGGAAGTGTGGCGTCCGGCACGCTATTAGCCAATATTCGCGTACCAGTTGAGGGGGATTCTATGAAAATTTCACGCCTTCAACGTTTTTAATGGCGACGCACGTAAAAACAAACAAGAAAAACATTTTCCACACATTTTCTGTTGTTACCTTTTAATTTGCAAAATGATTTTCCAACTGCGAACATAGTTCGCCGCATCAAAACATTTTATGAATATTCAGCATTTTGCATATTTAATTTATTTTTATTTATTTAAGTTTTTCGGTTTTTTTTTTTTTGTTTTTTAGTTTATTTTTTGCTATTTGTTTAGCTTAATTTTGAAATTGTTTGGAGCACTTTTTATTATAACTTGAGTGTGCGGCAAGCGTTTTATTCATTTCATTTGAGATTTGACGATCCCGATAACTCGGCGCGTTAACAGCCGGCGACCATCTGTTGGCTTTTAGCGCACAGCCCTAACTTTTATAGTCTTGGCCCTAAAGCAATTCGCCAGCACCAAGGAGCGCTCGTTGCGTATACGCTGCGTGAGCCCGAAGTTGCAACTGAACGGGCCGCGCACACAGCCAGCTCAAAGGCGAATGCTTTCCATTTTGTTTGGCCCAACAGCTGTCCGGAGCTTTCTTATCACTGCTGCTTGGGGTTGGAGCTGCCCAAAAAAGCTGTCAGCGCTTGTGGGGCACAGTGGGGCAGAAGCTTTTAAAGATAACATCAAATATTATTTGAACAACAAATATTATTGCTGTTATTATTATCATTACTATTATTGTTATTATTATTATTATTAATTTTTTATTATTATAATTATAATTGATAATTACTATTATTATTATTTTTATTATTATTAATATAATACAGATTTTATGAAAAAAAAAAATGAAAAATATATATCTTGCAAAAATGATGCCTTTTACACTAAAAAAAAAAAAGAATATATATGCATAAAATTTTACACAAAATATGTCACAATTGGGTACATCACAAGACGGGGTCGATTATGAAGTCAAATATTTTTTAGTGAGCTTTCACGAGGAGAAAGGCAGGCATTTATTTAATTTTACTGCTCATCGAGCAGCCCCTTGGCATCGAATATGGGCAGCAAATGGGCTACAATGCTCTGGGCCCTGTCACTCTCGTATACCGAGTCCTGAAAACTAATCGCCTCCGCTGTGTCCTGATAAAGCTTACAAAAGTCCGGAGATTCATCGCCAGCATATATCATCAGAGGTTGAAAAACCAAAGCTATTACAACGCCTAGAATATGTAAAAGAGTCTGTGTAAGGAACAGATTCCCAATTGTGTACTAGACAAAGAGTTACATAGAAATCTGCGGCGCTCGAATTGCAGCTGGAACTCCAGAAGGCTAGGTAGCTTGCCCTCGTAGTGGAACTGGCCCAGGATGCGCTTGAGTTCATAAAAATAATATTGCACCAGCTCTGTTTCCCTGGCCAGCACATCCACCTGCAGCGAGGTGCTGAAGAAGTAATGCAGATCCAGAATCGGAGAGGTGCGTGTGCTGAACTGAAAGTCTATGGGCACCACAGTGGTTGGCTGGCCCTTCCCGTCGTACTGGAACATAATATTGGTAGTCCAGCAGTCGCCGTGGGTCAGCGTCTGGAAATCGTCTTCGTTCACATCGAAGGCACGTGCGCCATACTCCATGAGATTGTCCAATAGACGCGTTAGCTTGGCGTGGTACCGCGGCTTCAGCTTGGGCTGCGTCTGGACGTAGCGGATGAGTCCCCGGAAGAGGCACGTGAAGAGCGTGGCGTAGCCCTTGGGGCCACGAGTAAAGAAACTGGTTTGAAAACGCCTGGACAGCAGCTCGGGATGTCGTTGCTTCAGCACCAAGGCGGCGGCATGATACTTGGCCAGCATTTGCAGCGTGATGTGAGTGTGGACCAGATCCAGTTGCTGCACACGATTGGCATTTCTATACTCGAGCAGCGTCAAGTCCTCCAGCAACATGATGCCCTGCTCCCGGTCGATGCACACGGCATCTGCATGCAGTTTATCCCCGATGCCCACCTCGCGCAGCAGCTGCGTCATCCTGGGCAGAATGTGCTCATACATGTCCATCTCGCGTGCGTACACATCGTATTCCGCAAAGAGGCCCGCCTGTGGCGCATCTTTGGGGCACCCCTCCTTCAGCAGATAGGTGCGCTGCAGCGCTGCCCCACCCGTCGCCGCCTCGAGCTCCACATGAATGCGCGTCACGATGCCCACATAATTCTCACCCTTGCCCGTGGCCGCATTGGACCACAGCTTGAGCACATTTAGCTGCGGATCCTGGTGGAAAGCGCGAAGCTGCGACTGCATGTAGTCCTTCGTAAGCCAAGTGGGCAACTCGCAGATCTGCATCTTGTTATGCTTTTAGCTACTCTCAGTTGGGTTGCCTTTGGTTGATGCTCGCGAACTGAAACGCAGCAAGACTGCGCTCCACCTGATACTTATAATGACAGTCCAAGGTGCTTATCTAGCACAGCACGTCACCTCGCTGTGGGAACGCATCTTGACATTACGTAGCACCCTCTAAATGGCGGCGCTAATGTCAATTACCTATCTATATGACCTGTCGTATAGACAAAACGTATAAACAAACTAAAGTCAACAATGAAGTGAGCTCTAGACGGCAATGCACGACTGGGATATCCCATAATCTTCGCGTCGAACTACCCTCACAAATGTAGCTTAATGCATCTAACTCTTAAAGTTTTAATGTGGTACTCGAGTCTCTAAATCGATTTTGATATGTATTAATAAAATGGTTCAAGATACCGACAAAAAAAAAGATATCGACGTATTCCCACAGACGAACAGACCGACTTGGCTAGATCGACTCAGCTCGATCGGCCTGATCAAGAGTATATATTATATTTGCTTAATGGGTTCGAAATGCCTTCTTCGGCCTTTTATACGCATTTTCATCCAAACACTAAACCCTGATCGGCCTGATCACGACTGCATGATTTTGCAGTTATTTGCAGTTTGTTATTTAATTAAATGAAAATACATATTTAATGAATTTGCCCTCACGCTCGAGAAACTGACCAAATAGATGCCATAATTAGCATATAGCGCGGCAAATTACCTAAGGTCTAATTACACAGATTAGATAAATATAGTCAGTCCAAGTTGGCAAAACCATTTATCTTAGATTGTAAAAGTTATCTATCTGAACTTCAAATGTACAGAGAAAAGAGAGAAAAAAACAATTGAGAAAGAGTATAGGAATACAGAGTAAAAAAAAACGACTAAGGAAGAGAAACTAAAGTATCTCTTGATATATACAAACATTTTTTGACTGGTAGGGGCAGAGAGGCAAGGTGTAGAAAGGTATGAGTGGGGGATCCATGAATATGTCGACTCACCTGGATGGATTATGCATTTAATAATATAAGCACCAACATATGTTGCTAAATTAATCCGAGAATATTCATTTATACATATCGCCCTAATTCCTTTCGACCAAAAATTGTGTATAAGAATTTGTCCGAATGCCTGGAAAACATTAAAAATATTGTTTCAGATTAATATTATCTTATCATAATACTTAATATTTTTATATCCAAAAAAATCAAGAAAATAAATTTGAACTCAACTAAGAAAGCGAATGTTACCTAAATATGGACTTGATTTACATGCTGTCATTTTAATTCTATTCGCAAAAAAAAATATACTTTGGAATCATTTTTGACATTGCCTTTTTTGCCAATTGCTTTTTAAGAATATATCTGAAATTAAACATAATATTACTTGAGTATTGATATTAGACGAACGCATTTCCTTGCCGAGCCTTGGTAACAGCCGCTGTCATAAATTTAGCCGCTGCTCGGAATCATTTAACACGTGGGCCAGCTCCGACGGGGGGCTTATCATTTGTGTTTGCGGGCCGCTTAACTGCGCAGCTTTTGATGGGGGCCATAAATGGGCGCAAACAGAACAGAAGTAGGAGATATTGGCTAGCCGCGAACGAGCGCTCGTCATCCAATCGATGGCAGCAGCAGCAGCAGCAGCAGCAGAAAGAGGAGCAGCAGCAGGAAAAGCGCCTTCTAAATCATATTTGCTTAACTAAACCATTTACACATGTACTGAGATAGCGTCGAAGCAGGCTGTTGGCCTGTTGGGCTGCAACTTTTATATATTTATACAAATGATATAAACATATTGATTTTGGCCCTGGTGCGTAGTTGGCTGGCCAAACAATTAGAGCAGAGTCTTCGGCGGCCACTTTTTCGGCAGCCAAAGCAAATTGTTTGGTAAACAAAAGCGTGCCGCTGATAAGACTAAGGTAAACACACGCAAAGCACCGCCGCACCACCGCACCACCGCACCACCGCCGCTGCGGAACATATTTGAGCAACTGTTGCGAACATTTCATTTATTAAATACTTGGCTTGCCTATGTAAATTAATGTTACGTTAAGTTTTAAAACAATATCAACGATGACGACAATTTTACTAGGAGCAGAAAGGCGGTCGCATTCCTGGTTCATGCGCAGAAGCTCTACTGTACCCGCTTGCTAATGGTGTCCAGATAGTTGTGGCCGTGATAGGCCTTACTCGTCGCCCAGTCCTTGCTGTAGCCATTCGCATTGACCTCGTGCGGACTGGACGGACTGTAGCCCGCGAAGCCGTTGGAGTAGCTGCTGCCCAGGAACTGGGAGTAGTCCGACGGATCGGAATCGTAGACATGCGAGTGCGATTGCACCAGGTGCGGATGGATTTTGCACAGCGTCTTGTACTTTAGATAGTGTATCAGCCAGCCGGTGCCGCCCACCAGCAGCACATTCATGCCAAGCACGCCGAGCAGCAGCGTCACCAAAGTCATCTTCAGGTGTGCGATTTTCATCAATATGATCAGCGGCAATATGATGAGCCACTTCTTCTTCTTGCGATGCCCGCGACTCTCTGTGACGAATCGGGCCGTTGAGCTAAATTGGCCTTGGCTGTAATTCGTGGTACTCACCCGCCTCGTCCAGCACCCGGGCGCCCGTCTCCTTGGGCAGCGCCAGCTGCAGGCCATGATTGCGGCCAAAGGTCTCGACGGCCCGCTGCAGGAACTTGAATATGTTCACCAGCTCGCTGTCGCCTGCAAAGCATTCGAGATGAGATGTGCGTAAGTAAAGTTGTGTTTATCAAGCAAAGGCAAAGACAAATAAATAAAAACTGAGCGAGATATATAAAATAATCCAAAGTTCCGTTGAGTCTAATTAATTAGCTGCGCGATAAACATCCGCAGCCGTTTATCACTTCTTTTATTTTTTTTTTTTAGATTTCTGCAGTCCAAACAAAATGAGGCGCAGCGCAGCAGCTGAAGGTGAAAACCATGTGGCCAGCAGCAGGCCAATCTCTCGCATAAAGCGCAGCAGCTAATTGGCTGGGACAGCTACTTTCCCACTTGCGAAGACTTGACTTGGACCCACCTGCCAGGCTCTTGGCATTGTTGAATACGACAATTTCATCGGCCGGTTCGCCCAGCTGGACCAACCGCAGCCAGCGTGGCTTCTGCTCGCCCAGCGACCGCTCGTACTCGTTGGGAAAGAAGCCCATGCCGTTGGTGGCCAGCTTCCAGATCAGTTTGGTTGCCTTGTACTTGATGCAGGACACCAGGTTGCGCGTCTCGAAGCACTCGCGCTGATTGCGCGCTATGTAGACATCACTGTGCGCGACCAGAGAGCCGCCAGCACGTGGCAGGGAGCGGGACGTCTCAATATGTAGCTGAGCCGGGGCTGGGGCTGGGACTGCGGTGGAGGTGGAGGTGGAGGCGGGAGCTGCTGCAGAAGTCTCCTCCAGTGCACTGCCAAGGTGCAGCAGCAGCAGCAAAATTAATGCCATGTAGGCAGCTATGCTCCAACGCCAGAGCGACATTTTATTGCGGACAATTGTGTTGGATCTTAAACAGAAGGCGACGATTCTCGCGGAGCTGGCTAAGCTAAGCACCGCACGGCTGGCCGATTGAAACACAAATGGAAACTGAAGGCGACCGGCTACTCCTTTTATCACAAAGCACACAGCTCAACCGCATGTGCCGCCTAACGAGCTAAAGCCACAGCCACATCTAATGCTCGTGAGGCATGCAGCACACCGGAATTGCGATTCCTGCCTCGCCATCAGCTGCATTGGCGTCCGACTCGAAGTCAAAGTCAATGTCGATGCTAGTGCGTCGCTTTCTGGGTCAGAGCCAGCGCGAAGCATGTTTTGAGGCAAATTGAATCGCATTTGCCAGCGTCTGCGTCGCCGTCGTCGTCGTCGTCGTCGTCGGGATTATGAGCCAGCAACTAGCCGAGCTGCCGCGTGAGACTGAAAGCAAAAGCCGCAAACGTGAACGCCAAACGAAAGTGAATCCCATGTATCTGACAGATACTCGGCCGGGCAAACGAAACGCCTTGGCGCCATTCAGGCCTCGGCCAACAGCAAACGGGTTGCGGCTGCGCAGATGCATTGTAAATGATACCAATCAGAATAAGTGCGAATGCATTTAAGTGAGATTAACCCGTGTACCGCAGCAGCAGCCCATATATGCACATTGTGCGCATTATGAGCGCATATTCAGATACAAATGCACTTGCAGAAAAACTGCATAACTGCTTCGGTTTATTAGTAAAAAATGTAGGCAAGCAACTTCACATACCAAATCCTTGAGCCTTAATTATTCCAAGGAGGAGTTGATTTTCCGCAAAGTCTGAGAAATATGTATATTTAAAAAGGCTTCTTTCATTCGAACGGATGGGAAACAAAAAAGTTTCGAAAGAAGGAACAACAAGAAATGAATGTATTAGCCATATAAACCATATATATACATAAGTTTTTGGCTATTCGTTGATCATCAATCATTCAGTCAATCATTCAGTCAGTCGCGACAAACAGGTTTGTAAATCACGGATAATTGAGGTAGGTCACAGCTTATAGAGTAAATCCGTTTGCGATATTTGAGGTTTCACTGCATTTGTAATTTTGCTTAAGTTCTTGATTTTGAGCGAAGTTCGCAATTGTTTCTCTGAGTGTATTGAGTGTATCACAGATGTGCGACTGTGCGGTTTGCTCTGCATCGGCGTGTAATTTGCATATTTGTACAAAAAAGTGTGCTTGCAATTGCTGCGAATTATGAATCGACTTCTAGTATGTGTGAGTACGGGTTCGAGTCTGACTGCGAGCCGAAGTCGGAGTTGGAGTCGGAGTCTGAGTTCGAGTCATCGGATCTCTGACCGTCTTAATTACAATGCTGGCAACGTTGCCACGCGAAAGTTGTTGTTGCTGCTATTCCTCTTGCTGCTGATGCTGTTGCTGTTGCTGTTGCTGCTGGAATTGTGATTTGTGCCGGAGTTTGCCCCTGTTGCATTATTGACCAGTGAAAGTAACAATTGGCGCAGTTTGTCGACTTTTTCTATGCTATGCATATCTTGTGGCCTGTGGCTTTAAACAATGTGTCGCATTCTCAGCCAGCTAATTAATTAGCCACCGTCTACGCGCGGCTCTAATAAGCATGAGGTAATCCCATATGAACCCTCGGCTTTCATAGAATATGCGAATGTGGCTATGTGCTGCATTTGCCGTATTGGATTGGATGTCGCAGCTGCGTGTAGAAAGTTTAGCAGCAATTGCTGTGAACATTGTTTTTAGCCAGCCGCAAAATAGTTATTTTAGCCACTTGTCCGCAGCTTGGCCGAAACTTAGCCAACAATGATGATTGGGCCCGAGATCAAAGTCGATTGCCTGATGGCTGCATATCAAATCAAGTGGCACACGCAAACGTGCGAGCATTTCGGAGGAGTGGATTGTCAAGACCGCCCAAAGCTACTTTTACGAGCCTCCGATGCACAATTAAACAAATTAAACTCGACTCGAGGACTTTGGCCCGCAGCCGGGCAGCCAACGAGCCAGCCAGCAACCGGATAGTCATTTTATTATATTGCTAGGCTGGGGGCTAATTAGTGTTTCCGCCAACGAGAGTTTGGCTTTTAAATATGTGTGATTTTCGGCATGGATCTGCAGTGAAATTTCGTTGCTGACCAGCGTTTGATTGATCGTTTGATCATTCATCGAATTCCAATATTAAGATCATTTAACATACAGCTGCTATTCGACACAGATGTGAATCCAGTAAGGATCTCGATGATCATCTATAAAACACAAATTGGGTTATCAGAGCCCATTTTTGTGGCCCTTCTAGCTTGGATTCGCATTTGGTCAAATAACAAATACTAAGATTAGGATGAAAAATTTAAAATCTACTTAAATATAATTTATATAAGTATCTGAGAAGAACCCAACTACTTTATTTTTAAAATAAACAGCTGAATTGGTAACTGTAAGATTCGTATTAAGAAACGGTGCCAATAGGTTACTTGCAAATTAACTTGATTTTTTTTTTTTTTTTTGCGTGGAGTAGTGTCTTTAACACTAACATATAAACTAAATTTAACAAGGAAGAGGTTCTAGTCGGAAGCTCCCGACTAGGGTATACCCTGAACACTCTTCTTCCAACATCAAATGCATATATATATTCTATTTTAGAAGCTATATGTCAAGTTTGGTGACTCCAGCTCTTATTATTTACCAAAATTTCCCAAAAAACAGGATATCGATATCGATTTTTATCGATTGCTTGGAAACGGAGTAAGTTATCGATTATCGGAAACAAACTCGATCTGCGCGGGAACTAGGAGCATCTAAATCTATAATTTTAAGTCTCTAGCTCTTATAGGTTCTGAGACCCTTGCGTTCATACATACGGACGGACGGACGGACGGACAGACAGACAGACAGACGGACATGGCTAGATTGACTCGGCTATTGATGCTGATCAAGAATATATATATTATGGGGTCGGAGATGCTTCCTTCTGCCTGTTACATACATTTGGATTTCGCACAAATACAATATACCCTTATACCCATTATTAATGGGTTCAGGGTATAATAATTTGCGAAATTTTAAATATGATAAAATAATACAAAAATTTCTGAACTGAACAGCAATAATGCTAGGTTTATGTCTTATCTTCTGAGGAGCAAATTTCCACTTTCGTTATATTTCAGTCAATACGTTAAGTGTGGAGCACGACAAGTCGAATTCAAATCGGTCAATGGGGAGCAGAGTGGCTGTAAATGCTAGACAAGGTGTGTGCAATAGCTATTTAAAGACGAGAGGTAGATGGAAAATTGATTCCGAAAATTCGTCAAGTTGTGGAACCTATTCAAAATAGTCGTTGAGTGTACGTTTCGTTAACTCTGTAGCATGGTTGCTGCATATGATATAAGCGTGTGCATCCATCATAGAACTATGAGCAATAGATGGCCATTCGCCTCGAATTTAGGTATTTCTAGCGAAGTTTCTTTGTAAAATGTAACAATTTATTGTTTAAGCTAATTGTTGCTTAAATAATTTGTTAAATCTAGAAAACACACAGAGCACTCATATCACTGACTCCATAAAAACAATTGCTAACTTACAGTTAAAAAGCTGTTCAACAGGCAGATTATAAGACCATATTCTTACCACTTCGCGCCCGCAACAATTTCATGATCAGCGAGTTCTTATCGAGCCCGTATATTGAGGTATGCCCACTCTGTGTGCTCTGCGGCTCATCCGACATGTAGTCCAGGTTTGGAGTGCTTGACTTCCCACTGGAGCTGTCAGAGTTTGTTGTTGTTGTTGTAGTTGTTGTTGCTGTTGCTGGTGTTGTTGCTGCAGCTGTTGATGTTGCCGCTGTGCTTGGATCAAGGAACTCGCTGGTGGTTTCATCAAGGCTTTTGCTGCTGGTGGAAATGTCAATAACAGATGCCTCTGTTTCTTTTTGAGCTGTGTTTTCAGTCGTGTCTTCAGAGCTGATGGCTGCAACTGTTGTTGTTGTTCTCGTTGTTGCTGTTGTTGTTGATTTTGCTGTTGTTGTGGTTGCGGGCGACGCGGTCGTCGGCACAGCTGTGCTTGTTGACGCCGTAGAAGCACTTGTTGTGGCCTCCGTTGCGGCTGCTCGCGCTGTTGCGGCTGTGCTGTCCATCATGAAGAGTATTTCTGTGTCGGCCTCGATTTCGCCAAAGATATCCGCCGCAGATTTGAGATCGAAATTGAGCAACTGCGCCTCCGAAATGCCCGGCAGCGTGTTCAGCGGTGCTGGCGTTGTTGTTGTGCGCAGTGACAGGGGCGTGGCCAGTGGCAGAGGCCAGTTGTAAGGCCAGCTGTGCGCCTTTTTATGATGGACTCTCTTTGTGAGCGCGTCCTTGACATTGTCTGTCGCCTGCCAGCTATTCTTTGAGCTCCACAATTTGCTTGTAGCTGGCGCCTTAATGGGCTGCGCATCGAAGCCTTCGAAATTGTGTAGCTCGATTTTGCGTATCTTGCGATTGCTCAGATCCTTGGGCGTGGGCGTCGGACGCTTGGGCTTCCTCAGCAGGCGACGTGGTCCTGGAGTAGATGTGCTTGTCCTGGTCAACGCGCTTGATCTAGGAGTGGTTGTGGTTGTGGATGAGCTGGAGCTGGAGCTGGAGCTGGCACTGCTGGCTGCATAGAGCATGTGGGGAATGCGATATGCCATTGGCTTGGGGCTGGGCGGAGGTAAGCCGTGGGCCACCTCCTCGGCGGGCGGGGCGCACTCGCCTTTGTGCGTGATCTTCCAATCTGTCAATGAGCGGAATGAGGCGCAATATGTGAGAGGCGACTCGTTTGTGGCGCTGGCAGCATTAAACCTACCGCTATTCGGATCCTTGCAGCGCACTCGCTCCAGATAGCACTCGTTGATGATGGTGTAGCTAATGCCATTGCGATTGGCGCAAATCGGGCTGTACGCGCTGGGGCAGGGCTTATCGCAGCGTCGGCAGCGGCCCTCGTACAGAATGGTCCATGCTGTGGAGTACTTTTAATTACAGTCGCCGCTCGCTAAGCCTCGCCGCTTCAGTGCTTACCATTGCCCGCCGCTTGGCTGTGCTCCATCAGAGCGCACACATGGGCAAAAGTGCGGCTCTCGCCATTGAAGCTGCCGCAGACGGGTTCATTACTGAACACGCACGGCTTTGAGCTCTGCCCCTGCTTCTGCCCATTGCGGATTTTAGCTGTGCTGCCATAGAGACGCCTGGGCTGGGCCTGTGGCTGGGCCTGGGGCTGGCGGGCGGGCAGGGAGTAGCTCTTCTCCATGGTGCCCGTGTTGCTGATGAATTGCGTGTGAAATGTGGAGGGCGCAAAGATTTGCACCGCATCCTCCGACAGCTCAAAGTCCTCGTCCAGCTGATTAAGCTGCTGCTGCTGCTGCAGCTGGTGACTGCGCTTGCTGCGCTCCATCATCTGCGATTCGGACTTGGGCTTGGCATTGGCCTTGGCCATTGGCTTCCACTTGCGATTGTGCTTCATCTTGGTGCTGTCCTCGCCGCACATGCCCTCCGAGATGATGCGCCAATCTGCAAGAGCGCCACTCTTTAAGTTCTGCCATTAGTTGAGTCATGTTCATGGGGCTTACTTCTTCGGGTGCGTATGTTCTCCGCGTTGACCAGGCACTCGTTCGAGAAGGTTGACTTGACGCCCGCATAGCTGGCGCACACCGGCCGATACACGTTTGTGCAGGGTATGGGCCGGCGACGCCTGCGCTGGCCCACGAGCACCGTGTGCGCCGGCTGCTTGGGCTGCCGCTGGCCGCGAGGACACGGGCCCCACATCTGGACCAGCCAGTCGGATTTGCTGCGGCACGCGGCGCGCATCATTTCACAGCGATTCCTAAAGCTCCTGCGCTCGCCCGAAGCCACGCTCACGCCGCAAACGGGCTGGGAAGCAGCATCGCACTCGAAGTCGCAGTCGGGCAGACAATAGTGCAGCGCGACATCAACTAAGGGACGAGAGGTCGAAAGGGCCAAGTTGTTCACATAGATATGGATTAGATATTGACAGTCCAGTCCTTTGTCACTTACATATGGGTACGCCCATGAGATTCTCGCGCTGCGCATTCCTCAAATCGCACTCGTTCTTGAACAGCAAATATGTGCCTTGACTGCGCCCGCAGATGGGCGTGTTATCATTGGCGCACAGCATCCTCTCGTGATCCACTGCTGTCGCAGTCACATCTACAATTGCAGTTGCAATTGCAGTTAAGGCCAGCAGCCAGGCTTGTCTGCTATTTCCCTTGCCAGTCATGCTCGTGTTCTAGTGCAATGCCCAAACCGAAACTAAATGCAACTCGAGATGCATTCTGCTCTTTTATATCGAAGCGTGACCCACGGCGCCGTCGCAGATACCAAAGAATTGTTGTCAACACGTGATAATCGCGACACACGATCAACGCCAGCGAGCGTTGTGTAGATAAATGTATATATATATATATATATTTGCATGACTGTTGCCAAGTTTGGGCCGAAACTTATTAATTTGACTATATTTTTCGATTTGGATTGGATTCGATTTGGGCTTAGTTTCTATGACTCCAGTAAACCAGAATGTGCGTCGATTTATCACATTTCATTTATATATATATATATATAGTAAAGTATCGAAATTATTTGAAACTGCATGTTCCAAGACTTTGCGCTATGACGAGAAGAGATAAAACTATGTAGTGCATAAAATGAATACGCCAGTCGGCAGTGCCCGACTTGGAAGATACCCTGCATCTAGCGACGAGCTGCCGTAGGAAACATTTGAACCTTTTTCTAAACGTGTATACACAAGCACAGATATTCTGACTGCGCTTCTTCTTTCCCGCAGTCAGAAATATATAGTTGGTTGTAGACTCCAAATCCAAACCTGAACAGATTGGTGTGTTTAGCTCCCATAATCTTCGAGCTACGCTCAAAATAAACTTTTTACAAAATCGATATTTATCGATATTTTGAAAGTGGGAGATCATATTGAATAAATAGGAAGACACTCGTGTTTTTCGACCATTAATAAATAAATAATAATAGATAAAACATAATTCTTTTGTTCCAGACAGACAGACTCGTCGTGCTGATCGAGAGATATTGCTGCCAGTTACAAACACATGCACAAAACGAGTATACCCTTCACAAACATTTTCAATTTGCTTGTGGTTAGAAAATCTAGATATAAACAAAAACAAATATATTTAAAACATGAATAGACTTAGCACCACTGTACTCCGATTATTATTTGAGCATATGATACGGGCCGAGTTTCTGTGTATAATCCAACGAAATGGCTTAAATGCCAGCTTCAAGCAGTTGGGCTAAGAATCATCTTTGCCTAAGAAACGATGTTGCTGTCTCTTTAATCGTCGGATTTGCATGCTGTTGACATAAGTTTCCATTTAGTCAATTAGATTTGCTTCGATTGGTCTTTTGCTTTGCCGAGTGAGAATCTTGTTGCGGCGCGTGCTACGTGATTTTTGGCTGATTTTGGGCCACGCCGCGAGATTCCAGATAAGACGCATTTGCTGGCGTTGCCGCAAGCACCGCAGTTGCTGGCAAACTTGGCATTTGCATTGATTGTGCACAAATTGTGCAAAAGTTGATGGCTTATGCGAATGATGAGTATTTAGTATTTGTAGTCTGTAGTCTGTAGTCTGTAGTCTGTAGTCTGTAGTCTGTAGTCTGACTATCTGACTATCTTTTCCGCACTTCTGCTAACTGATTATGGAGCACTTCGAACGCTGCTTATCGCCCCCAACCGCAGACAGCCCTCGTTTCTTTTGCTCTTGCTGCTTATGCTCATGCCGTATCAATAAACTCGACCAAGCACCCGACAACTACCTGAATTTTAGCTATGTGTCTGCACACATATACCTTATATATATAAATACATACGAGCATTTTTTTTAACGCTGAATGAATTTCGTGCAATCGGCAATGGAAATTCTCTAATATCCGGCCGATAAGTGGCCAACGCATTCATTCAGCAAAATATATATAGATAAACTTTATTCTTGCTTATCCATTTTATCTATAGCCCAAGATACGTGAATGATGCGGAGATTCGCGCAAATAGATAATTGGGTTTACCTTGAGGTAGACTTTACATATAAAAGAGACAAGATGGGAACTATGCTTCATGTTGGGGTATAATATATAATATTAATATTTAATAAAAAAGTGAAAATACTCGCTTTATAACGCAGGGGGGAAGTGAGTTTTGCTTAAGTCAACAAGTTTTTGGTTTCAATGACAGCAATTAATATTGTGACAAATGTTGATAAAACTGCATTGACATATTACCTGCAATAAAAAATAATAAATCACCAGCAGCAAGTTTCGTCTGCATATTTTTTCAAAAAATATCAAGAGATACAAGTTTGCATAGAAAAAAAAACATGCGGATAAATGGACATGCTTTTAACGACTCAGCTAGCCGGCGAATACATCTTGAATACATTTCAAATAAAACAATTTGCGCTTTAAAAGTTTATGCATCGCTTAAACTTGAAACTTAAACCAGAAGCAGGGCTCTATCTGCATGTCAAATTTAATGCGTTTTTAATAGATGTCAAATATCATTAAATTTCAAAATGACTTTCAAGTGTTACCAGACACCTTGTCAATATGCGCAATTTAAATTGTGTAATCAGGTTGATTCCTTATAGCGAACTTTACTAAATGAATAGGAATTTATCCTCAGGATAAATATATTCTCAATAATGTTTACATAAAAAACAACACATCATCAAGACTTTAACAATTCCCAACAATGAAGTTCAATAAACAAAATAAATTTATCCTCATGATATATATGACTACATTAGCCTTTATGTCTAGATGATGCTTACAAGAAAAATAACACAAGATTATAATTTATTAACACAATTCACAATAATGATTGTATATTCTAGACTTATGTAGTTGAATAGGAGAAATGGAATTTATCCTCAGGATAAATATAGCTGAATGAACTTTGATATCTAGATGATGCTATCAATAAATCTAATACAAATCTAATAAATTACAAGCTTAAGGCCTTAATAATATTCTACATGAAGTACGAGTAATCGAAAATGACTTTATCTTCAGGATAAATATTTTTACATGAGCTGTCTTGCCTAGACAAAAATGTGTATATATATTAAGGTAAAAGAAACAATCACGGCAAATTAAGCTGAGCTTTAACTAACCGAATAATCAAATTCAGAATCGCGTAAATCTCCATCAACGAAAATCGTTCTTTGGAGCAATGAACAGTTGCTATTTTAGCCGTTTGATGATTTTAGCAGCAACATCTGGCAACTGTCATTCGCCATTCTTAGTAAGCAGCATTTGCAGTTTGGTCGATTTACTTTTATATACAGATTTCGTGCCGATCGTGGCAGCAGCTGTTCTCGATGCCATTAGCAGCAGCCAGAAGCTTCTTTGGGACGCTAATAGCCAGAAATTAGAAACGGGCGCGAAATTGCAAAAGTTTAAACGGGAAGCGCTCCGCAGAAAAGAAAGCAGTTGCGAGCGTTTGCTGAATATCTCAGCGCTGAATGCGATGCATAACTAGGTGAAATGTGAGAGGCAACTAGAGAGAGAGAGAGAGAGAGAGGGATAGAGAGAGAGCTGGAGAGCGTTTGCTTGGATAGCTACTTGCTGGGCTGCTTGGCTGTGACTGTGGCTGCGGTCTTTGGCAGCTTTGTTAGAGCGGCGAGAAAAAAACGCAACGCAGTCTAACGACAAGAGCTGAAGCATAAAGACATGCGAGGACGGGTGCAACGGCCGCCAAAGTCAGTGAACGAAGCGCATAAAACAAAGAAATAACCGAAAAAAAAAAACGATTAAATAAATAAATAACAAAATAGAAACGAACTGCAGATCTTTAGACCGCGTGTGCCACAAGTGTTAGCCAAGCCGAGCCACAACTCTCTGGCTTTTAAAATGGTTGTGCAAAAGGCGGCCACGCCCACACTTCCAGCTGCCGCCGTGGCAGACAGCCCAGACAATTGCTACATGCAACAATATCAGAAATACGCCACACACTGCGAGACAGCCGACAGCGGCAATGGTAGCGACCTGGAGAGCAACGGCGGACCCGTACAGGCCGCACTCCTGCTGACCGACGACAGCGAGGAGAGCGAGCCCTCTTCCCTGAACAGTGACAGCCTCAACTGCAGCAGCACGGAGTATGTGCGTCAGGCGGCAGCCAAGCCCAGCGGCCAGCTGCGCCAGCGCCACAAATCGCTGCGCATGCTGGGCAACCTGCTGCCGGACTCGCTGCTGCGCGACATACGGGACAGACGCAGCGCCGAGTACGTGGTGCAGTTCACCAGCCCCGTCGCCGATCCGGTCGCAGTCGCGGTCAAGGACAAGCCGCCAAACCGGCAGCCAGCGAGCGGATCGGAGCTGTCGTCTGGCAGGCCGTTGTCGCGACGCCTGTCGCGCGAATCGCTCAACGAGGCCAGCATCGAGGAACTGCGCGCCGCGGTGCAGCGGGCCAACTTTGTCCAAACCGGTGGCGATCCGCCGCCATCTGCCGCAGCCAACTTGCAGCCGGACAGCAACGGGAGCAGCGGGAGCGTGAGCGGGGGCAGCTACAAGTATGCGGATGATCAATACTACAGCTTTCACATAAACGAGCACGAGAACTTCAGGAGCTTTGCGCGGCATGACGAGCAGCGGGAGCGGGAGGGGGACGAAGCGTCGATGCACGAGGATCACGACGTGTTCGCCGGCTATCGGGACGTGCGCAGCAGCGCCAGCTCCACACAGTCTACCATACGCTCAGCCAAGGGAACCGTGCGCGGCGTCAAGAATCGTGTGCGCAATGGAATAGCCACGTTCTTGCAGCTGCAACAGCAGCCGAATGTGAAGGTAAGCACGATGTTGCAAGGTGTTGCACTTGCCATGTTGCAACATGAACTTTTCTCTCTATCCATGTGTGTGTGTGTGAAATAGTCACGTTCTTGCAGCTGCAATAGCAGCCGAATGTGAACGTAAGCAAGGTGTTGCACTTGCAATGCTGCAATATGAACTTTCCTCTTTATCCATGTGTGTGTGTGTCTCTCTGAGTCTGTGTGTGTGTGTGTGTGTGTGTGTCTGGTACCTTCCATTGAGTCACTTGTTGGTTAAATTATGCAATCGAAGCGCGCATCTTGGCGAATTGTTTACCAATTGCACGCTCCATGGGAGAAAGTGCTGCCAAACAATTGCCGTTAGTTGTTGCTGCTGCTGTTGTTGCTGTTGTTGTTGTTGTTGTTGTTGCTCTGGTTGTTGCTTTTCAATATCTTTCACATTTGGTATTTGTGTCTGGCCGCCTGCTGCTCGTAATCTAATGAGCCGCCAGACTCTGCCGGACTGCCAAACAGCCACAACACACAGCGTCTTTTCTCCAGTGCTGCCCATTTGTGTGCGAGTTTTTCTCTGTGTGCGTGTGTGTGTGTGTGAGTGTGCGTGCAATTACACACTCGCATGCTTAATGAAAAACCGTTAAGTGGCTTATTTTGTCGCCACTCGCTCAGCGCTTGGCTTTGGCTTATTTAGATATTAGTTGGTTTTGTGCTTTGACCACATTTTTCATTTTTCCATTTTATTCATTTGTTTTTTTTGTTGGTTTTCTTTGCTCCCAGTTAGATAAATGGTTTAGCTTGAGCCGTTTGCTGAGTTACTAATCGCAGCTTGTAGCTTGCAGCTCGCAGCTCGCTCGAGATTGTGCAGTTAGAAAACTTAAACAACAGCTAAATAAATCATAGAAAGTCAGCGAAGCTGTTTGTGGAATTGCCCACAATTTCTTTGGGGCGTGTGCTGAGATCCCATTTGGAGTGATCATCAAGCTAATTAAACTAAAGAAAATATCACATAGCTATGATCACATAGAGTATTTCCCTGACTTGAAGGCAACTTAGATCTTAGATCTATTGTTATGACAATATGCCCACACATGTCTAGTGAATATATGATAGTGTATTAAAGCATTAGGTATATATATTAAGGCATATCAATTAAATTAGATTGATTTGCGAACAGTTTTTATACCCAACGACACAAAAACCGAGTGTCTAGTTTCGGATAGTTTGGTGACAAGTTCTTGCACATAAGTTGGGAGCATAACTCGTTATTGCCAGTGTTCTATATCTAGCATATCTTTAACCAAATTGTTGTTCCACAATTCAGCTGTCATCTGATAGTTCTTCTTTGTAGTCGTAAAGACGGACATAACTAAATTGACGCAGCTGTTGATGTTGGAGATTCCATTTTCGTCTGCTGATCTTAATTATAGAGTTCATCATGTTGCACCAACAAATGAATCTATGCTCTCTATTCTATATAGCTTGTCTTTTCCCAAAGAGATGCATTTCAAATGAAAACAACAATATTATTTACTTTGGGGCCAGTTGTCAAGCACCTCTTGTAATGCTATCGTTATAATAATTCTATCGTCACAGTTTCTCAAGACTTTAAGACATGTTTGCCTTACAATCATTATAAATATTGGGCATACCAGAGATATTCATTGACTGTTATCTACATTTTATCGAGCATAAAAATCAGTTCATCTATAAACTTGATGAAACTTTCCGTTTGGTCTGCAATCATATAAATGTTATGGACACATGAGTATAGTCAGTTTTAGGGTTTGTTTTTTATGGTATTTAACTTTTATTATTGAGCTAGTCAGTTGCGCGCATTTCACTTCCACAGAAGAAGACCAGGAAATTTCCCTTTATCTATTTTAATGCTTAGATTTGAGATCAGTTTAATTGTTGCTCTTGCTGTTGTTGTTGTTGCTTTTCACTTTCAAAGCTACGGAGCTTGACTTTGGGCTTGATGTTGAATTTGATGGAATGCTGAAGAGCATAAATTAGCTAAATGCCAAAGAAAAGAAATGTGTTTTGTGGCCTTATAGCGGCGCACATGCAAATTAGCCAAATCGAAAGAAGTCGACGAGTTTAAGGCTAACAATGCGATCGCATCTGCATAACAATAAAAGAAAAACCAGCTCAAATGCTGCTAATTACAATGCAGCAGCCACAGCCACATGCAGGTCAGCTCAGACTGAATCGAAAGTGAAAATAGGCTGGCCTTTGTATGTTATTTTTGTTGAGCGTAGGATTTAATATGCGCCGAGGCAGTTGGTCGACGTCTTTACTGGGTCTTTGATTTATGTCTTGCGGCTTTAAGCCATAATTAGAGCATAAATGCTGCCAAATTGTTGCTGTTGCCACAAATAAAATCAAATAAAAATAAAATAAAATCAACAGTCAAAGATGTTGCCTTCGTTTTGTCACCTTCGAGAAGGTAGCAACAACAACAACAAAAACAACAACAACAACAACTACAATTGGAGACATCAAGAGACTGCTGTCAGCATTGGCATTAGCCTCATAGCCCGCGTTGCTCAACTCTTCGATTGCCAATCACTCGAACCGACTGCTGCCTGCCTGCCTGCTTGCTGGCCAATACAAGTGACCTGCTTTCTCTTTTTTCCAATTCATGCAGCTGCGGCTGCGGCTGCGTCTTCGACTTCGTCTCGTCGCTGCTGCGGCTGCAGCTTGACATACACTGACAAAAAAAACTGTTTCAGCTGCGAGGTTAGCCGTGCAAATCACGTGTGTTAATTGTTTGTCTATGTGTCTGTTTTTTGGCAACTCACAAAACACAAATAAAAGCCCTGGTTGACAATGAGTTGCAGCAGGCCAAAGCGTTAATCAGCCTCAGAGCTGGAGAAGTGAGCGATGTGCGGTGTGTGGTGCATCTGAGAGGGAGAAAGGAGGGGGGTGGGGCATCCTCGTGTTTTCACCAGGGACAATTGCAGCAAATGGAATTGGAAAAACCGCCAGGCGACATCTCGCAGAGCGACGACATTCACCGCGTCGCAAAAGTTGACTTTCCATTTGACCGCAGCTTGCTTTTTGGCTCGTGATACGAGTCTTTGAACTTCTTTGTTTTCCAACACAACCCGCACTAAATTAAAAATATATATTTATCACGTAGCACAGTGTTGAAAAGAGACGCGAAATTTCAGATGCAAAAGACGAGCTGGATTTGAAGTATAGCAAACGCCTTTTTTTAAGGAGAATTCTTGAAAATATTTAAATACAAATTAGGATTTAGAGATGGAAATGGGCTTTGTTTTTCTCCCTGGCTCCAGTGGAATACAATGTTATCAGGGTTAAGATTAAATTAAAACTCTGTTGAGATTTTCGACGTTAACTGAATGCCATATCTAATTACATCTTGACCCTCACATGCCATCTCACATAGTCAAACGTTCTTGAGGGTATATTTATATCGTGCTCGTGTCTGCCCGTGTCACGCGGAAAAACACGCTCAATTGGAGCACACTCGCCAATGGGAACAGGTATTGCCCACAGCTCTGTGTGTGCTCCCCAATCCAAGACTCTCCACGCTGGCAGCTCGAATTTTATCAAGTGCGCCGTGGTCTAACGGTCTAATCTCGAGCTGAATGCATTTTTTGCTAGCGAATTCTCGTTACACCGGTTTCAGAAGCGGGGGATTAACTTATTTTGAGTATCCGCACGGTCGCGGTTGCACTTGCACAGTTCATTGATACCACTTGGCTTGGCTTGGCTCAAGCTGGCAATCTGGCTGGAAAGCGGTTCATTAGCCAAAGCAGCAAAGCAGACGGCACCAAAGTTGGCCAACTAACGGAAATGTTAATTGTCAAATGAAATGAGTGAACCCGAACCGGTTCGCCGGAGGGGGCCTTACAAAATAAGCCATCATAAATAGTCGGGAAAACGTCGCATTTCCATTGTGTGCCTGTGTGTGTGTGTGTGTGTGTGTGCTGGAGTCACAGCTGCTGCCAATTGGCTAGCAGTTTTTCCATTATTGCTTAATTAAATTGATTAATAGGATTTTGAGTGACATGCAGAGCCGTTTGGTTACGTGAGCTGCAAACGGGTCGACCGACAGACAAAAGCTAATGAACCCAACTGGTTGTATGCCCAAAGAGACAACGAGCCAAGCCAGGCCAAGCGTGTGTTAACACATACCCGAAGTTGATTGTCTTTTTGTTGGTTCTGTCATCCAGAGATTTCTCTCCAATGGAAAGCGGAAAATGTCGCTGCATTTTGTGTGGATTATATTTGGTCATGGCTTTGTTTTAGCCCCATTTCGATCTTCGTTGGCGTCGCTCATGATCGTAGCGGCAACCAAAATCTGAGCGCTGTGGCGAATTCTGTGCCAATTTCAAGCTATTTTGTTGACCTGCTTTGCCAGCAGACACTTGGAGAACTGGAACTAAACTTGGTCTAATCTTTTGCCTCTCTTCTCTTCTCTCTTCCGTCTCACAGTGCTTCATGGAAAAAGATCTGGGCAAGGTGGTGCTCTATACGACCAGCATGGGCGTCATACGGGACACCTATGCGAAATGTGCCAATGTTAAGCAAATTCTGCGCACGCTGCTGGTCAAGTTCGAGGAGCGGGACGTCTTCATGAGCGTCGAGTATCAGGCGGAGATGCGCCAGCGCATGCAGACCTCACAGATACGCGTGCCCCAGCTCTATGTGGAGGGCCAACTCATTGGCGATGCGGAGACCGTCGAGCGCATGAATGAGTCCGGCGAGCTGCGCCAGCTGCTCAAGCCCTACAAGTCCATTGCCAGCACATACACCTGCCAGACCTGCGGCGGCTATCGCCTGCTGCCGTGCCCCTCGTGCAACGGCTCCAAGAAGTCCGTGCATCGCAATCACTTCACGGCCGAGTTTGTCGCCCTCAAATGCATGAACTGCGATGAGGTGGGGCTGGTCAAGTGCCACAATTGCTGACTGGGCGAAGAACTGCTGTGAGGACCTGGACCATTCCATATATATATATATATATATTTGTATAGCATTTGAGTGCATTATTTGCATTTTGCATAACCTTTTATTCTAAGCCCAGTTTAACTTAGTCAACAACAACAACAACAACAAGCATGATCATACTAACTAACCAAGTCTAGACTTAAGTAGTAAATAGTGTCAAAAAGGCAATGTTTGCGTTTTATTATGACTTTCAGTGGATTGATTAATGTGTATTATATTTTATGGCATGCCGATTAATTATATTTTACTAAGTACATGCTTTAAAAATATTTATTTCTTTTAAAATGAGACGTACTTGATGTCGTAACTCATTCTACCTTAATTTAAGAGTTCTTCTATGTGGGAATCTTCATCTAAGGATTTAGAGAGGACCAAGCTTATTACCGGAATTTATTTCAGAGCTTCAAGGAAATAATAGATCTTTCAGGTTTTCGAGCAGATCGAGTTTTTTGATTGATTATTTTTTGGTTATTTGCCTATGATGAATTAGGACTTGCTTTTTAAATGAATTTCTATATATATTTTTTGAAAAATGTAAGCCAGGAAAATGCAGACTTCCTTCTATTAAGAACTTTCAAAAGACCTTAAAAAATGTTTTTCATTTTTTCTTTCTTGGGACTCACACTTCTTAAGAACTTATTCAATATATCTTAACATCTATCCGCTGTCAGCTCAATCTGACATTTATTAAAAAGATCTCACAGCATTATTCGCTGTATTTTAATTGTAAATATTTTTTATAGCCTGTCCGATATTTTAAGTTGAGGCTTTATTTTGCCCAGACGGGTTTTTATTTGTGCGAACTCGCAATCCAATTTTATTCTATGTGCTGGGTCAAGGTGTGCATACAATACAGTTCGTCAGGTCTGATTGTGTTTGCAGTCTTTCTGCCTGCCTCTCCCTCTCTCCTTCTCTCTTTGAGTGCTGCTATCTCGCTCTGCTCATCTATTCCTCTTTGCTTGGCAATTATGTAAGCCTGCTCCACTCAGACTTCGCACTGACCGTGCAATTTTCTCGCGCCATTTAATTTCAGCCAGCCTGACCGTCTAGCCTTTGGGCCTGGCTCCGGCTCCGGCTCCGATTCCAGCTGCAGCTCCTGTTCCTCTGACTACCCAGCCGACCCATTTGCTATTGCCATTTGCTTTTGGTGTCTTTGTTAGTTATTGTTATGGCATTTTTAAATGTTATTTTCCACTTGGCTCACACTTGTGTTTAACATGCCGCCCACACGCACTCCGCCCGCCCTCGCTGCTGACCAGGCCAACTGACCCTGGTCCGGCAGGCGAACCCTTTACAACAGCGGGTGGTAAAAATGGTTGTGTGTTGTGTTCCGCATTTGCTTGTTGGCGACTGTTGGCACCGCGGCCCGGATCGTTAAATTCACAGGCGGCTACATTGTAATTACCAGCCAGAGCCCGCCCAGTCCAGGCCGGGCGTCCACCCGTCGAGCGACTGGCCCAAATCCTCAGCCAAGGCAGCTTGATTTATGCGCCAGCAGCGACGCCATCACCGTCGACGCCGTCGTCCTCGTCATACGCAATTTTTCATAAACAATTTGGCACAATAACACACAGAATATGCCGCTGGGCGTGAGGGCTGTTGGACCAGTTGGGCGGCTGCCAAAAAAAAAAAGTGCAATATTAAAATAAATATTGTAAATGCCGGTAATGCTGGCAAACGGCAGCATATGAGCGGCTTGTGGCCACAGCAGGGCAGGGCGGGGGTCGTTGGACTGACAGCCACACGGCAGCCCGAGTAGCTGTCGACTGTCGACTTGCCCAACTGCTGGCAGTTAAACCTTTTAAAGGCACACGACGGGCCACAGCGAACGCCTCCAACTCCAATCGACTCCACCTTTGCCATGGGCTGCCATTGTTAACTTTATCCGCGGTAATTAGTTTATGCGCGCAATTTCATGTGCATTTCGGTCATTAAATATTGTTGTTGTTGTTGCTGTTTTTTCCAGCTGCTATGTGCATTATTATTATTTTGGCATACTCTCCGGCAGCGGCTCCAATATGTATCCGAAACATCGAAGCTTACAGTTAATGCTGCATACTTTCCGGCGCAGGTGTTTGTTGGGCCCGCACACTATAAATTTGGACATGCCTGGGACGGGGGTTGCTCCCAATTGGCGACAAATAAAATTAGGAACACATTATGTTTTCGACAAAAACTTTGAAATTGTTTTGCCATGCCATGCGACGACGCCTCAACCCGCCTTCCCCCGCCTGGCCATTCACCGTGCCCAGCAGCTCATTACATTAACTGGGCTTGGGCCACAAATCACGGGCAGCTACTCAACGGATTATTAAGTGAAAATTATGGCACTCCTAAGGCTCATAAAGCATTCACAATGCTCTTGGCCCCGCCAGCAGCGACGGTTAGTTACGTTTTTTATTGTCAAAGCATGCCCGTTGTTGTTGTTGTTGTTGTTGTTGTTGTTGTTGTTGTTGTTGTTGTTGTTGTTGTTGTTGCTGCTGCTGCTGCTGTTGTTGTTGCCCTAACCCATTTGCTGTCTGCTATAAAACTAACATAGCTCACATTATGGTACAGCCCAGTCAGCCAGAGTGAGAGAGAGAGAGAGAGACTTTTATGCTTTCAGTGTGTGCATAAGTTTTAATCTGCCTTTGTTACAATCTGTTGGCTTCGTTCAACTGATGCTGCAGTTGTGGCCGCTGCTGCTGCTGCAAGACAAAAGGCCACAGTGGAAACCACACTGAAGCCCGAATGCTCAATCCCAAGCCAAGAAGCCAACAAGAGACTAAACGTTCTTGCTTGGCCCTTTGTTCAGTTAACACAGCCTGTGGCATCGATAATGGCAGCCTTTAACACATACCACCACACCAGGGCTACCATCTGTTTAGATATGCACTCAATGGCAGGGGTAGCCCTGGGGACACATTTGCTTTTCTACACGTTTTTGCCCCAAGCTTCTATTTTGTTTTTGATATATGCCCGAACCCGGGTTCCTTTATCAGGTTTTTGCCGAAGATCTCACAGTTTCTTTCTTTCTTTCAAGAGTCTTCGACTTTTAGGCCCTAAACCTTTTTCTATCTTTTTTTCTTAAGCTCCAAGCGTCTATTTATAAGACTAGGAGACTTCGGCTTCAATGGAAAGCATTACAAATTATAAAATATAAAAAATATTTTGCATCCAAACTAAAGTTTTCTCATAGTTTTGAAAACTTAGAATTTAATAACATAAAGTTAAAAGAACAATATCATTGCTTTTATAATAATACTCTAAGAATCCTATAAATTCTTTCCGTTCAAACTTTTCCCTTGATTTGTTACTCTTGTTTTTAACTATTTTTCTATTATTGGGCGTATACTGTGCCCTTTCTTCTCGTTTTGACAACCACAACCATTAATACATATACATTTCTGAGACTTCTTGGAACTAGCTGTAATATATTGTGGCTTTATTTCTCTGCAATTTGTGTTACGAACCTTATTAGACAGTTTTTATGCCCTGTGCGAGCAGCCGAAAGTGCAAAACAATTCACAAGTTGCCGCGCAGTAAATAAAATAAAATACAATAAAATAAAAGAAAGCCAAAAGAGAGAAAGAAGAAGCTAAAAGTAAGTAAACAATTGATTAAAATTTATGCACTTTATCCGCTCGAACCGCACACAGAGCCATCGACACACGCAATCGAACCATTTCTATATAAATATAAGACGCCTTCCATCCAAAGTTTGCCTTTCAGCTTTTGTGTGTGTGTGTGAGTGTGTGGGTGTGGGTGTGTGTGTGTGTGTGTGTGTGTGTGTGTGTGTGCGTGCGGCTGGGTAAACAGCATTTTGATTAAATTATTTTAATGGTAAGTGAGAGATCTATGGTAAATGTATCTTCAGTCAAAATGCTACCTCGCCCACCCACTCAACCGCCCCCTTCCAATGCCCCCCCCCCCTTGACGCAGCTGCAGTCAATTAATTCAGCTGCGAACTATTAAAGCACACACCGGGCGCTCATAAATTGAGTTTGAAGCGCGACTTGCGAGCAGCCGCACATGAGTCAATTCTCTGAGGGGAGTTGCAAATGAATGAATATTTCATACGCTGCGTATATGCGTATGCCCAGATGCAGATGCCGATGCAGATACTCCTAGAGTACTCCGCCCGGGCAGCCTTTTTCCCGCCTCCGCCAAACCCCAACCCTGGCATAAGCCGTTGCTAGCCGTTAACCAACTGTGTTTCGCCTGTATTAGCTTCGTGCCGGCAGCTCTCGGACAGTTTTGGGATTGCGTCTGAGTTTGGATTTGGATTTGGCAGCGAGCGCCCTCAGCGGACTCACCTGCCCGCATGCCCTACCTCAATCCGTCTAGCAATCGTTATCTACCTCTCTCTTCCTCTCTCCCACTCTCTCTCTCTCTCTGTCTCTTTCGCTTTATATCTGCTGCTCAGTTTGTCTCTGTTTAACTCTCTGGCTGACTGGCAAATATTTATTGAACACGATTTGCTCGTTAGGCGAACGCAATACACACACACACACACAACAACATACACACACACACACACCTAGAGCGCTTCTTTGGCTGCTGTTTCGATTCGCACATTCGTTTTTCACTTTGATTCATTTTGTAGCATTTTTCAATTTCTTTGTATTGAATACATTTCCTTCATTTTCCCTCCGCTTTCTTTTCTTTCTCATTTTTTTCTCTTTTCTTTTTCTCTTTTTGTTGCGATTTTTATCTAGGACGTTTCTCAGCTGCCGAGCGATTTGTGTGCAAATTTTCCACTGTCATTATGTGCATGTATGTGTGCATGTATGTGTGGGTGTGTGTCTGTGTGTTGGCGTAGGTGCGCTAGTTTGAAATTTGGCCTAGGCCAGCTAGCAGCTAGCAGCTAGGCCAAAAGAAACAGTTAATAAAATCCCTTGACACGAAGGCGTTTACATAAGCTTTTAGCAAATAATTGAGTGTGCGTGCCTTTGTTGTTGCTGTTGTTGTTGCGGCTGGCACGTGTGCCGTGCCGGGCCGAAAATTGTACGGATTGTGCCGTGTAGTCCGGGCCAGCCTTTAGGGCAGCCCCAGCCACCTTTGCGGCTCATGTGCCGGGTTTTGGTTTCGTTTCTGTAACTGGAAATTCAATTGAATTGGCAAAAATTGTTGTTTACATGCCGATTTGCTTGTTTGATTTATGCAAAATGTGTGCGTGTGTATGAATGTGTGTGTGCCTGGGCATACACATGGGATGATGTGCACCTTGAGATTTGGCCAAACAATCCGGCGCCAAAATTAGCCAGTGCTCGAGTCCATGCGTACAACCAACCGTCCGGCCGTTCGTCTCGGAGAGAGCTCTTGCTTTTGTGTATTAAACGATATTAGCTGCCAATCGGAATGGCAGGGGGAAGCTGGAGGTGGAGGCTGGGGCATGTCTAGATTGCCGTTCGCCGATAGCCTGGCTGCGTATATTTGATAACGGTTTGGGTTCCTAATAGGCTGCTGGGTATTTGCCGAAAACCTTTTGCCTGGAATTCGTCTTGTATTTGAGGACAAACATGATTTGAATCTAGCTGCCGAAATTTTCTATTTACATATGCCGCAAATTGCTGCCGTTGCCGCAGCTCCTGCTGCTGCTGCTGCTGCTTGGCATTGGCGGCACGTAAGCGCATTACGATTACGCATACGCCGCGTTAGCCAATGGCTAAAAGCTTAGCACTCAGCGCGCACTGTGCACTCAGCCCACATAATGACCTGGCCAACACAAACACACACACACCAATACACACACATAGAGCACAGGACCAAAAGGAAAGTCAGCGAACGCAGCGAGTAAAATAAAATTTGTCTTCTGTACAAGTTGCAGTCAAGTTTGCGCTGAGTTGTGGGTAAACATTTTTCAGCAGCAATAAATAATGCGCAGCAAAGAAAAATATTAATAATAAGAGCATGCAACAGCAGTGCGCAGCGCATAAAGGGACAGACAGCCAGGGCAACAATAGATGCGCCTGGTTACCAGGTCCGAGAAGGGTCCGAGCCGAAGCAGGGGGCAGTCAACAAGAAAAGTGCATCCACGAATAAAATCAAAGCCATCAACTGCAATTGCAGCAGGCGAACGAACAGACGGACGGATGGACGTACCGACGGACGGATTGTTGCAGAAGGGGCATCTCTGGTAAATTGAATGGTTATTGAAAGGGCTGCAAGAGGCATTGGCGAAGGGGGGCGGAACGGGGGCAGTTCTGACGCTAGATTTTCTCGAGAAAGCAAAGTTTTGCTCTACCCCTGATGGCCATAAAACTATTATGCAAGCTGCATAAAGACTTTGTCAAGTGGAAAAATATGAAAAACTTTTACATTTCGATGAAAAGTAATGCCAACGCAATTGCCAATGTGTGAAAATTGTGGCTCGTTGCATATGCCACAACGAAAAACGAGAGGCCGAATATGAAATACGCTTTCCTCCGTGTTGCACAATTGCTCTATCTTAAGTATTCTGCAACTATATAATTTTTCGAGCATAGGATGTTGCAGTCAGATGTTCATGAAATTTCGCTTAGACGAAGGCAGAAGAAAGCATTTGCGTCCCCATATTCTTGATTAGGATTATGAACTGTATCAATATAGTTCATCCAAGTGTCCATTAGCTGTGTGAAAGCGTCGATCTCGAAGAATTGTAATTTTTAATATATATATATATATATATATATATTCTTTAAAACATGAAAACCTTTTTTTCTTATATCTCTACCCGTTTTTATAATATCGATAAATATCGATTTCGATAAAATGTTTTTAAAGCCGAACTACAAAGCCGAAAGTTTGCATGTGGAATCTCGTTTAGTAAACTCAGATATATTTAATAGCTCAGCACATAATCAAAAAAAAAATATTTGTAAAGGAGAGTTGATTGGCATTTTTTCGCTCGTTAAATTTCATAAGTATCGGGCCGTATTTATGATACAATTTTCCCAGTGCAAACTAATTGCAGCGCCTTTGTGGCTAACACTTTTGACGTTTGGTTATTAAAATGCATTTAATAATAAATTTAATGGGCGATTTAAAGATTAGAGCCAGCTGCCAGCAGTGGCAGCAGCAGCAGCAGCAGCAGCAGCAGCAGCAAAGGCAAACAATGTGTAACATGGCACAAGGCACACTTTCAATTTTCTTAAAACACATAAAACTTGATTATCTTGATTAAATTGCAAATCAAAAACATGTTTCAAGGATTACTTGTGTGCGCCTCACACACACACACACACACGCACACAGATGGAGCTCTTATCAAACCGCACACACACACACAGGCACACAATTACATGAATCGCCACAAAGGCAGACAGAGTGGGCGGCAGATCTGTATATATCAGCCATATGTATACACATTGTGGGCATAAATAATAATTGTAAACTGGAAGCCACAAGCCCTCTGAATGGGAGTCTGTCCGTCTGTCTTTCTCTCTCTCTCACTTCAGCTCTGTCTCTGTGTCTGTGTCTATGTCTGTCTCTGTCTAGTGTGCATGTTAATCTGTTAACAAGAAGCTTAGATCGATTTCATTTCAAAAGTGTTTATATCAATTTAAAGTAATTACAAGCAGCCACAAGCACATGCGAACGAGCTTGTGACACAAAACAAACCCAATGTCTGTCTCTATGAAATCCACAAATGCTTCAGTGCGTCTATGGGCGTGTCTGTATGAGTGTGTGTGCGTGTGTATGCGACCTGTCGTAATGGAAAATATTACGCAAATTGATTCTATAAGTGCCATGTCATACTCGTTGCCTTCGCCTGTTGACAACTTGCACAGCAGAAGGCCAAATGGAATCCTTAAGAGCAGTTTTCTCAGCATATCATCAATATATATATATATATATATATATATATATATATATGTATGAGTGTATATCTTTACATATATCAAGACATGCGTACTCAAGCTTTGGCAGTGACATCTCAAATGTCAAGTGTGTTGACAAAAGCCTTCTGTTTGGGCATGTCGAATGCCACGTTTTGTAATTAATATGATTATTGATTGATTCGCTGCGACAAGAGTTGATAATGATCCGAATTTACATGTGCCACATGTGAGCCCTGTTGATTAATATCAATCAACTGATTAGTTACACCCAACACGCAAATTGATTGTCTGTCGTGTTGTGGCTGTGTCTCCTTTGGCTGTGAACTCTCTTTAATTATCATGTATCTGATTTTTAACACTTTATAAATTGGCTTTTATAGAAACACAACTTGTTGATTACGCACATATCAATAAACTAGAATACTTGTAAGCCTTGTGAGCTTTACTTGAATTTATGAGAATCGCATAGAGAGGCAACATTTAAGAATGTCATTCTTTAACATTTTTGGCGCAAAAGTAAGTAAACTTGAGAGAATTACTGTTATCCTGCAACCACTATTTAAATGTGTTTTAACGAGTTTTTAATTTTTTGATTTTTTCATTTGTCTCAGTAGAAGCTCGTAGCATATTAATTGTTTATCATATTCATAATAAAAATAAATTCCGAATAATTTGAAATACCCACATATTCAACCTAAATGTTTGTCTTTTGATAATATTTATTATAAAATGTTGAACTGAACTTACTGTGATCTTCCGTGGATAATTTTGAGGAAAGAGCTCTTTTTTCAAAGAATAAATGAATTTTAATATTTTGCCTATACGATTTGGTTCCTCTTAAGTTTCGCTGCAAAGATAGATAGATATAAATTTTTAATACATATACAATACACTATACAAAAGTAAGTATATATATTGTAAGCAATATAATTCACGATAGTAATAATCTACCAAAGTAGTTTCTAGTCGAGAAGATATTGCTCTGCTCCCAATTTGGCTGGCTCAACACTTGAGTCTAGTTTAGCTCCTGGTTTGCCACTCGACTCGGCTTGGCTTTATTCATCTTTTGATAGTTATGATGTTTCCCCTCCACAGATCGTTCAATTCTCAACCCACACAATCATGACTGTCAGGAAAGTACTTTACGTTTAACCACACCTTACAAAATAGGGTTTAGGTTATACGTCTGTCACACTTGGAGAATAACCACAGCTGCATTTGTCATATAAAGCGAGGATAGTTTTTGGGGATTGCAGCTGTAAAATGCATATTAAGTGGAGTAATTAAATGTCAGCCCCAAGAGCGAGTACTTAAGAGCAACTTTGTTGCCTTGTCGCTAAAAACGCAGTCGCTGGGCGGTATGGGATCGGTGGGTGCTTCTGGTTTCGTCCAACTGTAGAGCTGTCACAGATGTTAAGGTTCAGCTAGTAATGCGCAGGTAAATCTGCAAATGTCAAAGGGCTCCAACACAGCTGAGCAATGGCTGGGCTAAGCGCCAGCTATGCCGAATTTTCTAGCTAATCTGACCAATTTGAAGCGCATTGTCTTGCCTTCCACTTCGTAGCCCAATTGTTGTCAGTGGGCCAAGAGGAAAGGTGGGGCGTGACAAGGCAAAAATCTAGCATTGAGCTACGTGTGCGCAAAAAGTAAAGTGCCCATGGCAAGTATCTGTGTCTGAGAGTGTGCGTGTTTGTGGGTGTGTTTTTGTGAGTGTGTGTTTGCATTGCACTTATGCACATGTGTACAAGCAGTAAGAAAAGTAGGGGGTGTAAGAGGGGCTCGAGGCGAAGCAGTGGCATTAGTCGAGTAGATGACGCTGTAATAGCATTCAGAACTCTTACTAATGAGCAGAGAGAGTGTGTGTGTGTGTGTGTGTGTGTCTGTGTGTAAATGAGGAGGTAGCTGCAGGTCGAGCAGGTGAGAGAGGGCGGTCGCCATCACCTTGCCGACGGCGCTGGCAGCAACGCTTGAACCAATTTTACAATGTGCGGCATCAACAAGCAGCACCAGCACCAACAGGCACACAGCCACACGCTGCAGCAGGCACAAGGCACAAGGCGCAGGGCAGAGGGGGCACAAGGGGCACAGCCGACTCCCGATACCCTCTCTCGGCCAGCGAGTGGCAACCGGCACCCGGCAACCGGCAGCTTCAAACTAATTGTGCAATTATTTTTGCATAAAGTGGCATAAACATGGCTAGAAGAGGCATTATGCAAGTTGCCTGACTTTTGCAACATATGAAGATGTAGCAACACCCACAAACACACACACACCCACATGTGTGTTAGGGGAGTCTGTGTGTGTGTGCGCGTGCCTAAGTGGCACTCGTACAATTTGAATGTAATATTCATTATTCTTTGCACATTGTCTGTCGGCCAAAAGCTTTTTGGGCCTGGTCTTTGTGTGTTGGGTTTTTAAAGACTTTACGTTAAACTCTGCATTAGGCAGTGCTTAGCTATCTCAAGATTAAGCTCAGCTAAACAACATTAGCATTTAATTCCAACTGCTGGCCAGCTAATGGCCTATTAAAACATACAAAAACATAGAACGAAATAAAATGATAAAGTGGAAAGTCAACTCGGAAGCTATATGATAAAACAAAATTAGTAATTTTTCATAATTTTTCCGTGTTTTAACTCTTTATCAGGAGATTTAGCCTAGATTGAACAGCTTCAATAAGATACCAAAGACCATCAGAATGAACAACAACATTTTTGTTCATAGCCAAAAGGAGTTAACATATAAGTTGTTCTCATTTTATAGAAGACACTAAATTAAAAATATTCCGCCGCTTGAAAGGAATCAATAAGTTTCTTCTCTAATAAGGCATGAGGCAAGAAGCTTTAGATTGAACTCGCCTTTGTTTTAATAAACATAAAAAAGCTAGTCAAAAACCGATTCATGAAGCATAAAGTATGTGTGGCCTTCGAAAATATGATAATGTTGCTATATATTTACATGTATTGCAAGTATTTTTAAATGAATATACAACTATTTAACTAAAGAAATAACAAAATCAACAGATATACATATATATATACCCACAATTGAAAATAAGCACAAATGAAATATTGTTTTTAATTATTCAGCGGCTTATTGTGCATTAAGTACATAAAATGAATACATTGTTAAATCAACGGGGGTTTAATCAACATTTTTTTAATTTAATACTTTTTGCGCAGGGAGAACATCTAAAAATTGAATTTAGTTTGGGCTTTATTATATATCCATTAATTCATAAGCCTGTTAACCTTAATATGTACAATTAATTCCTGCATAATAATAAATGGAACCCTCTCGTAAATCCTTTCAGTATGAGAAGAACATAAAGTCCTTAAATAATGTCATCTGACTGAACCTCCTGAAATTAATACGCAAGCTCGTATACTCTTCGTGTCAGCCATTCCCACAAATGCTTAAGTATATGGAGACAAACACAAACAATGAGCCAAAACAGCAGAATCATATTCTTCTTTCTTCTTTCTCTACTCAAGCTATGTGGATTAGAAGTTGATTATATATCTGAGATATGTATTCAATGTACTCCATATAATTATATTATAGATATCTTGAAGATAGTTTTGTGTTTCAAGCCTTCAAGATTTGAATTTTTATGGACGTCTTTTAATTGTTTTAAATCAATCACAATTATGTTACATATTTGTATGCAATTTTTAGCCAATTAATATAACTTAATTGATGAATTAATCCTGTCGGTCAAATGCCTATTTGTAAATCAATTAATTTGACATTCAGTTTTTATTTTCATTTTTATAAATTCCAAGTAATGCCAGTTAATCTTGTATGTGCAAATACATATGTCAATTATAAACTCTTTTGGCCGGTTCAATTGTTTTCAATTTATTTCAGTGTGATAATTGACGCACTTAACCCGCTTAAATCAAGATTTATATGTTTATATAAATCTTTAGACCTGTTGAAATTGGGTCTGGTTACTTTGTTGTAATATATTAAATATTTGGCTTTCAGCTCGGGAATTATCAAAGCATGCAATCAACGTCGTGTGTACTAGATTTAATTAAATTTTGCAATTTAAAAGGCCAAAGCATAAACGAGGTTGTGCATGCCAGTGTGTGTGTGTGTGTGTGTGTGTGTGTGTTTGCACGTAAAGTTGTTTTTCGCTTTGTTCAATCTTGTTGTCTGGAGGCAAAGGAATGCAGCATTTTCAGTCTCATGTCAGTGTGGCATAGTTTTTCGTGTTGGCTTTTGAACCAGGCTTTAATTTGAATTAAATTTGCGCCCCAAGAAATCTGCCCGAAGTTTTTCTTTACTTATTTTTTTTTTTTAAGTTTTTGAAAGGCAGCAAAGCGAACCGAGGCCGAGCTCTCAATGCTTTCCGTATGGCATTTTTCGACAATTAAAATTAAAATTTAAATGAAATGAGCGCTGGATGTGTGTGTGTGTGGCAAGTGCTGTGTGTAGAAAAGCCACAACACACAGAACTGAGAGCGTATGAGTATGTGAAGGGAGGTGGATGGAGCGCGGGGAAGTCAGGGTGGCAACAAAAACAAACCGCAGCAACCAAAACCAAACACAAATGTTACATAAAGAAAAAGTTGACTTCGTCGTCGACGTCGTCTGGGCAAAGAACGAGCACAAATATGTAAATGAAATTGTATGACTCGACACACACACACACACACACACATAAAGACAGAGAGACACATACACTATATGCTAGAAATGTGCAGCAATTGCTGCAGTGCCGCGGCAACTGCAACGGCAACACTCGAGCAACTTCTAACTAGGAAAGGTGCAAAGGTATGCAGGTGTAGGTGTCTCTGTATGTGACTTGCTTTGCATGTAGTTCGTTGACTTTTCAAGTTGTCGACACAGCACCAACAGCAGCAGCAGCAATTGCACTTTGCTGTTACATTTATTACATTTGTAATTGTTGTCAGTCGCAGTTGCGTTTCGAGCTGAGCAGAGCCAGAGCGTTAATTATGTGCCAAAAGCAATTTTCGGGCAAGAGCAACAACAACGTGTGCCACATGGCACGAGCTGTTTTGGGGGCACGTGTCAAACGGAAGTCGTTGCCAATCGAAGTAACTTCCGGCTTGACATGGCGCTGCTGCCGTTGCCTTTGCCGTGGCTTTGCCTTTGCCCTGCCACAGTTTCAAGCATTTTGGGGGGCATTGCATACTTAACAGCGCGCGCTGTAACTTTCACTTTTACAACATACACACACACACGTTTAAAATGCCTTTGCATATTTCATTAACGGTTTAAAAATTCATGAACTGCTAATTGAAAACGTTTGTCGCACACACACACACACACACACACACATGCGCTGGGCCTGGATGCGTAGCAGAGGGTTGCAAAAAGGTGCCAGGACCGCACTACAAAGCCGGGCAACATAGTTTAGCACTTTGGCTGGCCGTCGTCTAGCTCAACGCTCTCTGTGCCACCCAAGAAATCAAAACGTTGCCCCGCAAAGCGTCAAGGAGAAGGGGGGTAAAGGGGGCTATTTTCTGTAATGTATGCGACCTGAGCGACCCAAGCGACCTGCACTCAAAGTTCACCACGTTTGGCCTGGCACTTTTGTTTGCGAAAATACCAACACACACACACACGGGCACACCTTCAATCACTTCCGCTGAACGATGAAGTAGCTCTTTGGCACGCTATTATTTTGCGGCCGAGGCAAAGGCATTGGCCAGGGGGCTGGGTTGCCGTTCATATGTAATTGGAACGTGTGAGAAATATAAAGAACAACGGGCAGCAGGAGCCGAGAGCCAGGAGCTAGAGTCGTGGAGGCGCTTAAGTTGTAGCCCCGTTTTGCCGGATGTCCTGTTAAAAGCGTAAATAGGCATAAAACAACGA